GTAAGGTCCATCTACTGGTATACATTGTATGCAGCGTCATTTATGTGCCTATTGTCCTGACCTTAGAATCCTTGTCCTAAAGATTAGCCAGCAAATCTACATGTATTCTTAGGTCTTGGTATGGGTATTTCACTTTCAGTATAAAAAAGACCATCAAAGTCCTACCAATACATGTGTACATAGTCTATAAGTTATGTAATTTCACAACACAAATTCTATATAAAGATAGGGAATTAGGCTATTATTTGATCTACTGTTATGTACGGTACATCTTGTGGAGGTACCGGTACATGTATGCAAAAAATTCAAAAAGGTTGAAATATCGTACCCCTTAACGAGGTCAGTTACATGTATCCCTTTTAAAACCTGCATAAAATGGTGTTTTTTTTAGCACCTCAAAAAATCCACACACAACTTAAAATAAACACAACGTTATGCTGAATTTTCCAACTCACATTTTCCCCCACACTACAATGTACCGGTATGTATCGGTAGTACTTTATCAGTGTTTAATATTTTGATAAAGTTGCTTGCTGCTTGTTGACTGGATTAAAAATCAGAGGGCCTGAAATACTGACATATCAAAGGACAGTTAAAAGCGCTTCCACAAACAATAATCAAAAAAGCTAACAAAACAAAGCTTTGGTTCAAGTGCCTTAATAGGCCTGGTAATTCAACAACTTGCCAGCGCTTACTGTTTCTGTCGCGCAGAATTATATTGTTTTTCTATTTTCCAGAATTCTAACAATTTTCAGACAAGCTAGCGTCACCACAAGGTCAGTGTCAGCTTTGTGAATACATTTCACTTGAGGAAAGAATAGCAACGACTATTAAAGCGTTCATCTTTTTAAATCTCTCCTTTTTTTTTACGAGAGGGTTACAGAGGTCGAACCATCATCCTAACTAAAAAGGTCGCTCTCTGCTTGGTAATGTTTTCAATCACAATAAACACCCGAGGTTACGGTATCTTATTATTGTTACCAAATATCACTAGGCTTTTTTCCAGATTTTCGTATCAGAGTGTGCAATAAAATGTGAACACACAAAGTTAGTAAACGCCGAGGCAAGTCAATAACTTCTCAGTTTTCAAAACAAGACTACATTTGCACAGGAGCATATGCAATGAGTGGTTTATATAGTCTTAAAGGGAATATACAACTTTTGCAAACAAATCGAAAAATAAAACTACCAAGTTTTTACAAAATACCTAAATAGGATGTTGGTAATTGACAGTCTAAAGCATCCTGTAAAATTATGGCACCTGGTGTGAAGTCAGTTTCAAGAAAATTGTATTTTTGGATACATTTCCAACGGTGGTCGGCCGACCACCGTTGGAAAAACCTAACTATTTTTCAACTACTGCTCCAAATTCACCGGGGTTTTTTCAGTCCAATTTTGTTTGCTATTGGTAACATGTTCATGAACGGGTGCAGGCCAGCTAGACTGGTTCCCTTACCTTACAATTTTCCGGCATCTAGAAATTGATCCATTTTATCTTTAGTGGAGTCAGGGAACCAGACTACGCCACCATTTGTGTTTTTCTTGGTTTTTCCAGCATTTTCAAATGCAAAACTTCAAACATGTCAGTGTAACAATATTTGATCTATTATAGTAACCCCTCAAATAGTTCATTTCTGAAAATTACAGCAAAAGCCAATGATGTACATTCCCTTTAACTACTAACAAAAACGTCCACTGGTATGCCTACAAGTTTGAAGTACATGTATTTGTTAAAGACAAATACGAAAAGCACTACCATGTGTCAATCTATTTCCCAAAACTTCTATAAAACACTCCAGGCATGTTTGAGTTGCCAGACATGTGAAACCAACTTCCTGGATTATCAAAAAAAAGGGGGGCTCTCTCTACCGTGGGAACTGAAACTAGGCTTTTTCACTCATGGATGAAAATCACGGAAGACAGATGGTTTTACGAGACTGGTGACCTAATGCATGCAAATAAACACCACCAAAAAAAAAGTCCACACTCTAAGCACCGTCAATTTCAGAATTATTACAATCGATATATCAGAAATCCAATATCGAGAATATTCTATTGATTATCCCATGTATAAGTTACAGACCATACATGTAGATGACACTTTGATTAAAAAAAAACAATCGTAAGTCCCAATTTTCCACAGCTTTCTCTGGAGCATAGTGCTCAAACTTTTATACAAATCTCAGCACCGAGAGTTTGTCCAGAACAGGCGATTTCTTTTGAGGTTTTACATTAAGGACACCGTGAATTCCAGCGAACGCAGAGCACAAAGCAACGCTGCTTGGCATTTCGCGCTGTTTTTATTTTAGGCACGTTGCTTGGGGACAGGAAAAGGTGGACCCAAAATTTATAGCATGACCCATATGCCCTACTACTGTTTGAGCAGTCACAGACAGTCAAAATTTTCTTCCACTTCCCCTGCCATGCCTTTTTACACAGGCTAATCACCAACTATCAGGCAAGCACTCTGACTAGTCAAATTCAGTCAACAGACAAATAGCAGGAAACTGGAGGGCACTGTTGTCTCATCAATCACCTACAGTCAAAGCATAGCTGTATCAAGTTACGTAACGTAACAGTCACAGCCAGTCAATCCTGATTTATGTGGGCAAGGAGAACAGTTACTTGACTGATTTTGACTAAAAAGTACAACTTTGCACAGAATGCATGTTTTGCATAGGAGGGTTGTAGGCCTACATTACACTTACCAGGTGTTTTTTTAAACTGAACTTGAAGATTTATTTTAAGGTCTCTTACATACCTGTATTGGAAAAAATGTTGCAACCTGACGCACTTTTTTCTTCATATACATGTATATCATCTCAATGAAGGTCATTCTTTGCAAAAATGATGATAAGACATGAATCTGGGACTGAGAAACATTTCCAATTTTGTTAGGAAATACTTTTAAAAAAAAATTGACTCTCCATAGACTTTGTACACAATCGCGGAAGTGGCGTCAGGTTGCAACATTTTTTCCCTCGTATTTTAAGGGTGCAAATTATAGACATTTTCCAATTACGGTATTGGGGTTGGTACCTGTAACTATTCATGTATGGAACTTAATTAGTTGGTCGCACCACAAACTGACTAATCTGAAATGCAGCGTCTCATAATTAATGAATACAAATATGCTATAATTATCCTTGAAAAAAAGTGGTTTATCCCATCACATCTGAGTGCAACAAATACCCACAATGACCAAGGCCTATGGATGCAGTGTTACACGGATGCTAGGATTATGCAGTACAGCAAACCACCATGCATCCATGCACAATGCTGCAAATAACTGTTTCATAAACTGATTCATTATTGATTGCGTGCCGCAGGTGCATTCATAAATCAAAGAATTTGCCCACACAAAATAAAAATATGATGACACTAATTTTTCGACCAAGGTTTCTGTGTTCTGTTGTCTATCTGATGATCTGATTTGGTTTTATAGTTTTAAAGGGGCACTGTACCACAGTGGTGCACACAAATGCATGAATTTTCCCTGCCTAGTGGACTGACTTGTTAGAAGAAGTTTCACTTTGATGTTATTTGCATTGATGTGTCTATCAAAGGAGTAGGCCCATACGTCAATACAATGTGTATTAAATGTGTATTAAAAATAAACACATGGCTTCAATATTATTATTAGAAAAAAATTCTGCCAGCAAAAAGTGCGGCATCCTAACACAACTTTTTCAAGATGATGGTCAGTCACTGCAAATTACATTGTTTCGGAAGTAAATTTGGGACTTAAAATTTGGGAAGTAATATTTTTTAAATTTTGTTGGAAAATACTTTTGCCCACAGACTTTGTACAAAGTAGCTTGGAACACCCAGCTCTAGGCTCATGACATGGGGAGATTCGCCAGTAGAATCGGTGACTGCTCGCTCCATGTTTCGACACCCCTATGTTCCGACTGTTCAACCTATGTTCCGACAAACATATCTTCCGACACACCTTTTTTCTGACACCCCTATGTTCCGACACCCATATGTTCCGACTGCTCAACCTATCCTCTGACACCCCTATGTTTCGACACCCATATGTTCCGACAACACGCAAAAATATTGTGTTCGCCTATTCAGACTGGTGCGTTGGGGCCAGAGACCATCGTATGTTTACGTTTGTAGGGTCGGAACATAGAGGGTCAGACCATAGAGGTGTCGGAACATAGGTTGAGCAGTCAGAACATAAGGGTGTCGAAACATAGGAGTGTTGAAACATAGGGATGTGTGAACAAAGGGGTGTCGGAACATAGGCTGAGAAGTCGGAACATACATTGTAAGGTTGTCGGAACATACATTTAAAAAAACATCGGTCATGCTGGGACTCGAATTCGAGCAGCATTGCTTGCGAGGCAGGCGCGCTATCCACTGGCATAGGCGCACGTTCGCTCAATGATTAATAGTAATGGAAAGAGTTCCATACCTCATTACCTGGACATCACTTGACACACTGTGCACAAAAAAGTATGAGACTGGTCTAAAAAATTCAAAGTGTTTTCTCTGTAAACATGGTAAATGCTTCAATAGTTTCCCTCCTAAACATGCTAAATTTGACTTTTGATGACACGTTATCGCTTTCTGATGGCAGAGTGATAGGTCACTGCAGAAAAAAATTGGTGATAACTGATATCCATGTATGGAATTCTAGTTCCACCCAAACACTTCGAAAAGTTAACTTTTTATTGACTCCCCCTCCAAAAAAACCCACAAAACTGTGACAAGATCTGAACACTTCCCCCAGATGTACTCAACTTTTCGAAGACAAAGGGAGTTTATATATAAGTTGAAAATTCACACAAAAATTAGGCCTTAATGTTTTATACCTTATTGTCCCACTTGTCCGGAAACTAGACAACATCTGCACTTCAATTCAATGGGAAAATGTACGGCTACGATTGTCAGCACTAACGCACACAAATCTCATTCAGTCACGAAATGTACAATGAAAGCTGATGAATACGTCCTAAAATCAAAGAAGTGTCAGTAACATCATAACTCACCAGGGTTTGTGATCAGTCGTTCTCAGCTGTTTACAAATTTTTGATCCAAAACACTTTCTAAAAAATCCGAAATTTTGTCCGATTATCCACGGCCGTTTCGTGCACGCATACCGGCCGTCGACCGGAAGGAAACAGGCTCTGATTCCCACTACACCTGTGGACACCATAATGATGTTCAATGTACACTGCATGCATTGTCCACGCCACTTGCGCCAGATAACCCACAATGCTCGTAGGAATTAAATTGAATACCGCAAATTCTTCAAATGTCACGTGATCTTCCTTGGCCAAAAAAAAGCTGGTCCCCTTTCCCCCATTAAAATCAAACTTGGTGGCAAGACTACCAGTTTAGTACTTCAACCATTTGTCAAACCTCGGTGCATTTTTCAACTGCGGTTTGCACTAAAGCGTCGTGATGTTTAAGTTCTGCCCTCATTAAAAATGTATCTCACCATGTACATTTTCTTCTGTAGAGAAACATTAATCTTACGAGACCCAGACAAACTTTCGAATCTTCTTCATTTTGTTGGAATATTTTAAAACGTACAAATACGTACTCAGCGGAGATGAAGCCGGACTTTAGAAAATGTCGCCTATAGAGGGCGCCGTAATATGTTACTATAAGGCTGTTTCCAAATTTGATCCAAAAATGGCAAAATACAGAAACTTAAAATTCCATAAATTTAAGATTCGAAAAGTGATAAAAACGCTACAGGTTTTGTTAGGTGTAACCTCAGCCAAATAAAAACTTAATTCATTCCAAGCTTTCGGTGGAAAATGGCCATTTTTTTTAACCCCCCCCCCCCAAAAAAAAACAGCATTCCAAGTGTTTTGCCATACACAAAGCAAACCAAAAACTTTCTTTTCCCAAGGACAATTACAGACTCAAATGAATGAACAATACTCACTTTTTAAACAAGAAATTTGCTAACTTTTACCATCATTACTAGTAGCAGTTAAGAGCATCAGACTCATGCTCTGGTGTTTCAGAGGCAACAGTGACGTGGGTTCGAGCCCGCCGGGTGGACACTTGTGCCCTTAAGCAAGGCACTTAACCATTATTGCTTTGTCCTTCGGATGGGACGTAAAGCCGTAGGTCCTGTTTGTTATGCAATGCATATAAAATAACCCAGTAACACTTATCACTAAGAGAAGGGGTGTGCCCCGGTGTTTCTGGCCTCCTGTATAAACTCCCACACGGAGTATTGAGGAGAAGAACCAACCAAGAACAATCACACAACAAAAATGGGTTACTATCAATTTGGAATATACTTTATTTGTGAGCGTCATAATATAAGGAATACAGTGAAATAATGTCAATATTACAATTACAGCCCGATACAAAATATTGAAAGTATATCATTTATATAAGAATGGTTGGTGTTAGCATTTCATTACACATGTACAAGTAAATAAAGGTGGCACACATACAAATTCTTTTAAAAGCCTGATGTCTGACAAAATAGTAAACGTGTAAAAACAACCTAATTACATTAGGTAAAAACTGACGTAACACGAGTTCAACTAATCCCAATAATATCCAATACTGACAACGATCGAGTTCTATCGCCCCAAGCTCAACCCTAATTATTATCATTAGCATTTAGACTTAATATATACCTGATGCCTTGTTGACTATTCAAATTCAAATGCACCCGTGGCTGAAAATGCAAATGAAATCATTCACGATTTTCAGATAGCATTATACCACTGTTATATAAAGATCTATATTTTTTTCAAATCCGCTGAAGGAAAAACCACTTCAAATCTCTCATTTGTGACCTTACAATAGCTTTTCATATATTAATAGCCTTTAATTCAATTGGTTTTACAGTTGACATTCTGGATGCATGCTTCTTAAATTCTCAAAAATCCTCTTCTGCTTTTTGTACTTTTGACTTGCAATTTTACTTTTTTGAAGTTTTTTTTCCCCAGGGATGACAACATTTTCCATGAGTAATTGTGCCAGCACCATCACAATGGACATTCAGTTTTTGAGCTAAGGCCCTAATAATTGAGCTTTTTTGTTTTTTGTTTTTAAAAGACCAGTTAGTCCAGTATATAACTCTGACCATATTAATTCAAACTCAACAATAAACAGGGTGTCCCCAACTCTTTTTTGCCTAAAAATGTTCTGAATTTGTTAGCACAAACTTAAAATTAGCCACAACCATTAGGCAAGGGGTGCGGTGCAATACTTATGCATTGCTTAACCCTAACTGCCCTGAATCCCTTAAAATCCTCTTTCCCAAAGTGGAGGAATTTGGAGGATTCAGGTTACATGGCAAAAGTGCGTCACTGATTTCATAGGATGCACTTTGTCAAGGTCTTGGGCCAGACCTTGTGTTGTTTTTGCTCAACCATGCATAAATATAGGCCTGCATTATGCTTGAAATCATCCGTACTGCTCCAGGATGTTACTGGCCAAGCCTCAACACACTGACAGTCACTGCCGCAGGATTTTGCAGGATACAGGCAGTGGTCACCCTCCACAGACCATATTCAAGAATTAATGGAGGAATTTGCAGGATTGAGGCTATGTGCTATTTTTCCATGAGTCTAATTGGAAGATTTTGCAGGATTGAGGCTACATCCTAGCAAAAAGGCCTCGGGAGTTAGGGTTAATAAGATTAAGTTTATGGTTGCACCCATGTAACAATCTTTTTTTAATGAGTTTGTTAGATTCTGAAAGGAACGAGTTTTTCAGAACCTCACACACTCACAAAGGAGATTTGTTACATGGTGCAACTGCAAACTTAATCTCATTGCTATCTTCACCATGCAAACCTCCAAATCTTATCTACACATTTACTTTTCATTTTGACCAGCAAAATTTCCATGAGTATTATTATGGGTTAAAATCCATAGATGTAGTCAAATCCTCACGAGTCTATAGGCGAGTTGATCAAAAGTCGATCAAAAGATACCCAGTTTCAAGTCAAGCGCCAAGCTATTAAGATGACCTGTGACGAAGGCATACCTTTGTCATTTTGTAACCTCCCGTTACTTGTGGCCTGATGGTGGCTTATGAATGACTTGTGATTAGACCATAGAGCTAGATTAAATTACTAGAGCGCTGACTCGTGTACAAAGTGATGCCTGCTGAACGCATCCATGTTTGTACACAAACCTATGGAGAACTCGAAATTTTGTACAGCTTTTGTACGGCTATTTGCATATCTGCGTTACCGGTGCGTTACTGAAGCCGATACGCCTAAAGCCAAAACACACAATCAGCAAATGAGCGTGTCATTTTGCTCTACGCAAACAGCACAACGCGGGTGCGTATCTGCTGCAGATGATTCGTGAGTTGTTTTTTTTAAACGTAATGATGAGCTTAAGTTGTTTGCATACGTTCTACTTGCATGTTGCATTTAGAGTACACTTTCAAATTCAATCCATCTTATTTCATTATGTTCTACAAACACGCACATGAATTCAAAATGTCTGTGCGCAGGACGGCTTCAAAGCGTCTTCGCGCGCAAGAATGAGGAGTTAGCGATCTAGTAATTAAATATAGCTCTGTGGATTTGACTTAAATCAACTTGACTTCGGGTCTGGGTTTATCAGCGACAGGCTTAAAATGCAAGAGCATGTGCAGGCCTGCCTGAGCCACAAAAAAAAAAAACCCAAAACAAACACCATTTGCCCGCATATGGTTAATCCTTTCTATTCATTTTTCAGTTCAGTCTTTAAAGGTAATATACAACATTTGCTTTTGCTGTCATTGTCAGAAATGGGCGGATTTTTGGGCAAGTAGTTGATAGCAAATATCGTTTTATTGACCTGTTTCAAGTTTTGTGTTCATGGATGCCGGAATGAAAAAAAAAACTGTTCTCGTAGTCTGGTTCCCTGACCCGACGCTTCAAATGAAACGGGAATTGTCCGGTCAGTGAACCGACCAGCTGGCTTGCGCCCGTTCACAGATTCATAACCGGTTGCAAACAAAATGTTGACAAACTAATTTGGGTCAATTAGGGGTAGTAACAGTATCCAAAAAAAAAGCCGGTTTTTATCAATGTTGGTTCACCCGAATCGTTGGAAAAAGATACAATATTCCACTTTTCTTGAAAATGACAGCATATCACAGCATACCAGGTGCAACGATTTCACATGATACTTGCGACTATTATTCACTTACAGTTAAGTAAAGTATTTCATAATAATTTGGAAGTTCATTTTTTTAAATGTGTGCAAATGTTATACATTACCTTTAAAGCATAGCTATAAGCTCAACTTGAAACTGTACACACGACTTGCAATCCAGTCAGTACAGTAACCAAATATGACATCTGTCAATAACACAGTTTACATACTGCAACATTAAGACACGTGTGGCGTGATACACTGGCATACAAAAATATATACGTACATTTCACACAGACTTTCTTTTCTGCCACGCTGAGCCAACGTTCCTACTTAGCCAGTCCTTCACACCAAAGCAGAGAAACTTGGCCTTTGCATATTAGCCTAGATTTCAGCTAAAATTACCCTGTGATTACATATCTCAAATCTCCTTCAAAAATTAACACAACAAAAAAGATACACCCCCAAACAAAAAATCATAAACAGAATGAGAATGTTTAAATTCTGTGTTTTGAACACTGAGCTATATTAAATTACTAGAGCGATAACTTCGTGTACAAAGTAATGCCTGCTGGGCTCATCCATGTTTGTACACAAACCTACGGAGACCTAGAAATTTTGTACGGCTTTTGTACGGCTATTTGCATATCTGCGTTTGTATTCCATACCGGTGCGTTATCGAAGCCGATACGCCCCAAACCGAAACGGACGATCAGCAAATGAGCCTTTCATTTTGCTCCACGCAAACAGCGCAATGAGTGCGCGTATTCGCTGCAGATGCTTTCTGCCGTCACGTTTTTTTTTAACCGTCAATGACGCGCTTAAGTTGTTTGCGTGTGTTCTTGCGCGTTGCATGTATAGTACACTTTCAAAATTCAATCCATCTAATTTCATTATGTTCTACAAACACGCACATGAATTCAAATGTCTGCGCCCAGGACGGCTTCAAAGCGTCTCCGCGCGCAGAATGGCGAGTTAGCGCTCTAGTAATTTAATATAGCTCTATGGTTTTGAAGCACCTGAAGAGATAGGGACGGCCTATATTGTTCTCTTACTGAAGGGGGGGGGGCACTTTGACTGACCCCCTAAGTCACTGAATATAGGTAATTCCCTTAACTGAGCCTTTGAGGTTCAGCTCAGCCTAGTCTTCTTGTTTCTAATTTTATTTGGAAAATTATTTAACATTTTGTCTGAGTTTTATATTTTGGAGGTTAAATAGCAGATGATAAATAAATTTTCCTGTAAACTGCAACAAAAAGGTCAAAGGACCTTCCCTGCATCTTCACTTACTGATCACGAATGCAAAAATGACACATACGGTCGACTCTCGTTAGTACAAACACTGTTGATACAAACTCTGGTTATAGCAAACACAAGGCCTTGGTCCTGACTGTGCATTTATGTGCACAATGAATGGGAGTGATGTTCCTCTTAATACAAAATTCTGATATAACAAACAATTTGGATCGTTCCGAACGAGTTTGTATTAACGAGAGTCGACTGTATATCCCAATCCAAGCACTGAATCACTGTACACACAAATTCAATTTGCTTACTGTCAGTTATGTGGAGTGCAAAAAAAAGAAGGCATAGTAGGAATGTATACATCTTGCTGGCACTAATACTAAATGTGCAAAAGTGCCCCATTGGTCCATCGCTCACTAGACCGCATTAACACCGGTTAAAACAACTTCACATCTGATACATTTGTAAATAAATACTTCATACAAAGTTTGTGTTGAAATAGTCTACACTGCTGAACTTAAAAAGGTACTAACAAGCCATGCACAACAACGCATTGTGAATTATTTCTCTTTACTGTAATTGTCATTATGCTGCAGTGAACCAAAAGGAATTTGACCGTAAAGAATGCATGGTCCATGATTCACCTTTGATGTACAAATATAAGTGGTCTTTTAATGAAATTGACATGTTTGTGCTGTGTAAACCAGTGAGTCGACAGTGAAAAACTCGACAATTTCCACACACAATGTGGTTCGAATAAACGTTGCTGCTAAACAAGATTTCACATTTTAAAATTGCATTTTAGAGTGGAGAAAACTGAAGGTTTTAGCTGTTTTTAGTATGCTGGGATTTCTTTTAAATGGATCAAGTTGTTTTTTGGTCTTTATCTAACAGGGGTGTGAAATCTCAGCTTTAAAGCTGATTTCAGCTTTTTTTGTTTTGGATTTCAGCTTTTTCCCCCACTTGCTGTGTACAAAAGTATAGATTTCCAAAGTTCAGCTTTTTCACACCTTTTTTTTCACACCCCTGATCTAAGATCTATATTGTATGTTTATTCCAAGCAAAAACCTCCTTCTTTTCTTTTTTTGGGTTGCACTAGTGGCTAGTGCGAAAAGCGCTCGTCTCTCACCACTGTGGCCCGGGTTCGATTCCTGGCTCGGACCATAATGTGAGTAGAGTTGTGCGTTGGTTCTCTCCTGTGCAACGAGGGTTTTTCTCCAGGCTATTCAGTTTTCCTCACTCTGCAAAAATCAACACTTTCGATCTCTTTCAATAACAAAATGTAAGTCGATATTTTCGGTTGATGTCTCATTCAAAACTGAATAACTTTTGAACTGCTAGAAAACTAGCAATTTTAAGGAATCAACTTTTCTACGGCTGAAACTCGAAATACGGTGTACAAAGTAGCTGCTCTGGTAGTCAGGATTCTTAGGCTTTGTCAGATCGATGGAAAAATATACCATATTCAAGAAAATTTCTTACGAAAGATTTGGCGCTGATGTCTGATCTTTAAAAAAGGGACTCAGGAAGACTATGAACCTTAAGAAAATATGTTCAAATGTAATCGAAACTGTGGATGATGTTAATTAGTATTGTTGGAAAAGAAAAAACGGGAAGAAATTCCGAATGTGAATACAAACATTAGACACTGTACAAATATATGGAATGTATATATCCCAGTGCATATTATAGTGGTGCATATATTCTAAACACAAGGCAGCAAATATTGCAAATCTGTCGGACAGATTGACGTTCACACTTGAGATGGATTGGAACAGAATAATTGCAACTGGTGTAAATGTTTTAAAAATCCAAATATTGATATGCCCCCTTCAAAATGACGGGGACAGCGAGAACCTTGCATTACAGAAAACGATGCCGGAATCTCCATTAAAGGGAATGTACAACATTTACTTTTGCTGCAATTTTCAGAAATAAATGAATTTGGAGGATTAGTATGTTATAGCAAATATTGTTAAACTAACTTGTTTAATGTTTTGGGCTTGTAGATGCTGGAAAAACCAAGAAAACCTATCATGTTCTTGTCGTCTGGTTCCCTGACCCTACTTAAGATGAAAAGGAGTGAACGTAAAGACTTTGGGAATTGTAAGGTCAAAGAATCAGTCTAGCAGGCTTGTGCCCCTTCACAGGTGTGCAATCAATTTCAAAGAAAATGCGGAATAACTAAATATGAAAAATTAAGAGCAGTTTTTGAAAAAATGCCAGTTTTCTCCAACGCTGGTCGGCCAGCGTTGGAAAAATACAGTTTTTCTTGAAAATGTCAGCACACCAGAAGCCACAATTTTACAGGATGCTTAAGACTGTCATTCCCTAACAATCCAGTAAGGTATTTTGCGATAATTTGATCATTTCGTTTTTTGATGTTTGCAAATGTTGTATCTTCCCTTTAAGGTGTAAAGTAGCCACAGTGCTGAATGTGCATCTTACAGTGTGTTCTATGCGTACATGTTTGGTGTAGAGTTCTTGTAGGGATGTTACGTCCCAATTATAGCAGCATCCCAACTGTAGATGGGATCATCCAAACTATAGTTTGGACTGCTCCAACTACGGCCATAACTATAGTTGGGGCGTAACATGCACTTAACCCTCCTATGCAAACATACACTCTGTGCCAAGTTGTCCTTTCAGTCAAAATCAATCAAGTGACTGTTTTCAACAGTTACGAGCTCCCAGCCTACCGGTACATACAGCAAGATTGACTGGCTGTGACTGTTCATGTAACTTTATACAGCTTCGCTTTGACTGTGGGTGATTGATAAGCCAGCTGTGCTCACATTGCATTGTGTGTTCTTGTTCTGGTGACTGAATTTGACTGGTCACAGTGCTTGCTTGACATATGATCTGACTGCTGGTGACTAGCCTGTGTTAAGAGTATAGCAGGGGAAGTGGATGGACATTTTGACTGTCTGTGACTGTTTAAACATTAGGAGGGTTAAAGAATGTACATCCTGAAAGAGGCTACCTCTTGCGGTATTCATTTCACCCACAAAGACTCATACACAGGACTGGAATGAAGGTGCCACATTGTTTATCATGGGGGCAGTGTTATAATACACATACATACAGCCCGTCTTGGTGCACAATTTTAGTGTTGGTACTTATACCAATGAAAACGTACTCGTACCTGCACTCTCAAACCACAAAAGAATTCCCTTTACTTGTTCATATACTCAATGTCTGATGGCAAAGAACTCAGCTTTGTAATGACAGGAATGTACTCGTACTCATCAAATAAAATGCCTTATACCAAAATCTGGTACCTGAACCCAATTAAGAACTAATGGAGATTCGTTGAGTAAAGGACAGGTGCTCGCACTCATGGCAACGTACTCATAGCGGTGTCAAAGCACTCATACTCATTTTCGTGGAAGTGTGGACCATTAAAGGCCAAGCTGACGACATGATGCCACTATGCAGGGCTCAGGTTACGATGGTCCTTATTGAAGATAAGGCTTTCAACTTCCCCTACGGAGTTCTCTACGTTCCTTGGCTCGGTCCTATATGAGCCTGGTGTTCCTGAGGGATTGAATGAGCGAGCGATAGACAAAGATGTACTGGCCGACCGTCTGCACCATCAGCATGCGCTGGTTCCGCAGACGCTCCAACATCCTGGGAACGTTTATCTCCTGGGGAAGAAACCCAAAATAGTAAAATAGTTTTCTTCCAAAAATTAAACAATTACAGTTTGAAGCAAATAGTAGGAAATTTAGTAAATTTTAGAAATCACGTACCAGAAATTCCAGGGTTTTAGGAAAGTCTTTACATGTCAATCACAAGCCAGTCACAAGTCCATCACCAGTAAATCACAAGTCAATCACATGTCAATCACATGTCAATCACAAGTCCATCACATGTCAATCACAAGCCAATCACAAGTCCATCACCAGTAAATCACGAGTCAATCACAAGTTCATCACCAGTAAATCACGTCAATCACATGTCAATCACATGTCAATCACAAGTCAATCACAAGTCCATCACCAGTAAATCACGAGTCCATCACAAGTCCATCACCAGTCAATCACAAGTCCATCACCAGTAAATCACATGTCAATCAAAAGTCAATCACAAGTAAATCACATGTCAATCAAAAGTCTATCACAAGTCTATCACAAGTCAATCATCAGTCAATCACAAGAATTAATCATAAGTCAGTCATAAGTGAATCACAAGTGTACTGGCCGACCGTCTGCACCATTAGCATGCGCTGGTTGCGCAGACGCTCCAACATCCTGGGAACGAGCTGCCAAAGGGCCTTGACTTGATTGATTGATCAACTTTGATTCAACTCTTTACCTCGTTGTGCTCCAAGCTGTTCAGCATGAGATCCGTGAGTATCAGGACCCCGGTCCTCCCGACCCCCGCACTGCAGTGGACTAACGGTGGTGAGGGCTTGTCACTGATGCTGTTGGCGTGACGGCAAACCGATTGGAACTCCTCAATGAAAGCTGGCAAGACCAAAACAAAACAACACAAACAACAACTTGTTAACAAAGAGTTGGAATTAATAGCATTGTAAGAAACAAATCCAATTGCATGAAAGTAGCGAAGTTTTGCAGACAAGGAGCGGTTAGAAACGACCAGAACTAGAAAAGAAACATGATACTAAATCAATGAGCCTGAGTCTCCTTTATCAAAGGCTCTAAAATAATGAAACTAGAGCATGAGGCACTGCTGGAGGCAAAACCTAGATTTCTGAAAAACTACATTATGGTCCTACTTTAAAAGACTAACATCATGTAATTGGAATGTGAAGGCACAGCTGGAATCAAGGCCTAAGTGTCTCAAACACTGCCTAAAAGCTCCATCAAAGGCCTCAAATCACAAAACTGGAGCCTGAAGTCAAGGCTGAAAGCAAAGCCCAGGTTTCTGAAACAACGCCTAATGCACCTATATACCCATGGACATCATCATAAAAACTTGGATCCTGAAGCCTCCGCTGGAGGCAAATCTTAGGTTTCTGAAACACTTCCTAATGCTCCAACATCTTAGGCCTAAAAATCATGAAACTGGGTCTTAAGAGCCAATATCATTGAGCGTCGTGGCCGAGCGGTTAAGAGCACTGGACTCAAGCCCTGGTGTTTGTGATCGGCCGAGTGTGGGTTCGAGTCCCAGTCTTGACACTTGTGTCCTTAAGCAAGACACTTAACCATTATTGTTCATCCTTCCGATGGGACGTAAAGCTGTACGTCCCGTGTGTTGGGTAATGCACGTAAAAGAACCAAGCAACACTTATCGCTAAGAGAAGGGGTTTGCCCCAGTGTTTCTGGCAGTGCGTTTATCTTCAACCATATGAAGGCTGCACTTGCAAGGAAGAAGAAGAATGCTGAAATCAAAGCCTATATTTCCAAAACACTGACTGGTTTACCATGAATAGCTGTGAAGGCCAACTTACCCAGATACCCATGGACATCATCAGGGCACCCCTGGTTGGGCCAGTCCGTGTACTGGAGGTGCCAGACCGTCCGCTGCTCCCCCGAGGGAACGTGACGCACCGTCAGCCCGCTGGTTACGTAACAGCCGGAGTCGTTGCTGAACTGGCCTATGATACGGAACTGAATCACAGAAGGAAATGCTCGGGATTAGCTAGAGACAGTCTCAATGATAAAGTGAGGGGTTAAAAAAATCCTTGAAAAGTGATAATTAAGACTACAAGGCAACCCTGAAAGGTAGCACATCCAATTCTGAGTTATCGGCAAAAACTGAAACTTTAAAAATGGAAAAGGAGAAAAAGTTCACAGCTGAATCTAAGATCAGCAAGCTGAGGCAACAACAACAATGGAGTGTCATGGCCTAGCGGTTAAGAACACCAGACTCATGCTCTGGTGTTTCAGAGGCAAAAGTGGCGTGGGTTTGAGCCCGCCGGGTGGACACTTGTGCCCTTGAGCAAGGCACTTAACCATTATTGCTTCATCCTTTGGATGGGACATAAAGCCGTAGGTCCCGTGTGTTGTGTAATCCAATGCACGTGTAATCCAATGCACGTAAAAGAACCCAGTGACACTTATCGCTAAGAGAAGGGGTTTGCCCCGGTGTTTCTGGTCTCCTGTATAAACTCCCACGCGGAGTATTTAGGAGATGAACCAACCAAGAACCAAGAATCAAACGTACCGGTCCAAATTCCACCGTGTTTTTGGAGGAGCTGCAGTCCGGCCAGTACTTGAAGCATTTCTCCTTGCCTCCCTCCTGAAACACAGACATGGAAAGAACAATCAGTCATAATCTGATAACTTCCATCAACAGCTACAGATAATTGCAAGACGAAGGTTTTGATTCTATCATTTTATGCACATTTGTTTTTGATTGGGAAAAAAACACTACCGCCTTCTCCTGGGAGATGGTCTCCGAAAGATTTGAAACCTGATTTACTTTCTAAACTGATGGCAAACTAATGGTAAACTGATGGTACACCAATGGTACACCAATGGTAAACTAATGGTACACCAATGGTACACTGATGGTAAACCGATGGTACACTGATGGTAAACTGATGGTACACTATAATGGTAAACTGATCGACTGATAGTAAACTGATGGCAAACTAATGGTGAACTAATGGTAAACTGATGGTATACCAATGGTACACGGATGGTAAGCCGATGGTACACTGATGGTCAACTGATGGTACACTATAACAGTAAACTGATGGTAAACTAACGGTAAGCTGATGGTAAACTGATAGTAAACTTATGGTAAACTAATATATAACTGATGTGTGCTTTAAGAACCTTGCCAATGGTTATGTGTGCATTCTCAGTCCACATTGTCATGATAGGAAAGGATCATGAACAGATGTGGGGCAAATTTCATGGATCTCCTTAATAGGCACAGATTTTTGTTTAGCACAGAAAAAATTTGCTTAATAATAATAATGAAAAAAAACGGTAACCAGCAGAAACAATATGTAGTGTGTAGCACTTATGACTGGTTCTCCTTTAGCACCTGGCAATATTTTGTACTTAGCAGTTCTATGAAATTCAGCCAAGTGAAAATTTAGAAGGATCCCGATCACTTGCCTCTAACTTGGTCAGCATCGCAATGACGTGTATCCGCTTCTCCCAGACCATGCGCCACCAGTCCTTGACGGTGCTCGGCAGCGGGCCCTGGGTGGCCACATACTGGCAGCTCTCCCTGGCTATGGGGATCTTGATGTTGGACGCGTTGATGTAGCCCGTGCTGTTGTCGTGCATGGGGGCTAGCTCTATCCTCTTGTCCTGAGATCAAGGAACGAATTGAGGTTTGGTCATAATAACAATAATAATAATAATAGTAATATCGGAGTCTTATATAGCGCACGTATCTACCAACAATTAGGTACTCAAGGCGCTGGAAATTATGTCTATTATCAAAGAAAGGTAAATAAAGTTTATGAGAAATATGAGACCCATTATGAAGCACCTTATAAGGGTTTACAAGGTGCTGCGGCACGCATATTGCAGCCACTGCCAGAAACACCAGGGCAAACCCCCTTCTCTTATCGATAAGTGTTACTGGGTTCTTTAACGTGCATTACACAACACACGGGACCTACGGCTTTACATCCCATCTGAAGGACTAAGCAACAATGGTAAAGTGCCTTGCTCAAGAGCACAAGCATCATGTTCCCAGTCAGGATTCGAACCCATGCACCACGGCACACGAGTCGAACACCCTAACCATTGGACCACAGCACCCCACAAAATTGTCCAAGCCTGGACGTCTGTCCTTATGTCTTGGAAAACAGAAGTTTGTATCATGAAACAATAACAGAACACTGCATTGACAAGCACCATTTTACCAAACATTTGGTGTTTATTAACACTCAGGGGAGAAGGCTATTACTAATGATCAAAACGATGTCACAGTTCACCGATTCTGTTCAGATACATTTTTTTCATAAACCATCTGCACCCACCTCGTATGGAAGCACATCTTTGAATCGGTTCCGGTGTCCGTTATCAGGTAGTTGGGCTGTGTAAAAGATGGCGTTGGGTCTTCTCTTGGGAATGAGATCATACTCTGTGAATACTTGACCATCTCTGAGGTGTTCCTCCAGTATCTTCCTCTGGTTTGGGGAGAGAACACAAGGCTTCAAGATTTAGGCAGACAGCTTGAAAATCTGGTTAAGAAAATCTCGGCTGATGGTGGTAACTAAATGAAACGCCATATGGAATGCCGTTAATGGGGGAAATTATCGGATACATGATTATGTATGAAAAAAACTAGAGATTTTAAATCTTTTTGCTAAATACAACATGTTTTTCAATATTACCAGACACTGTAATTGACACTTAAGCTGATTTATTTATCAAATGCTCATCAAATGTATATTGCTCAATGTGTTTCAATGGTGAAAAATACAACTGAATTCCTTTTTTTTTTTTAAAGAACACGAGGTGTTGTGTTAAATGTCTAGGCTTAAGGAGAAACACACCAACCAAAATGAAAAAAAATTATTGAAATTTCAGTTTGGACCTTGAAAGAAATTTGCCTTCAATTCAATTCAATTTATTATACTCGTCACGTAAAAAAAAAATGCCATGTGTCTTTGAGAGAAAACAAGCATGAACACTTCCATTCAAAACTGAATTTGAAATGCTGATTTAAAGACCAGTTTATGCTCATTTCAATTATCAGTGTTACGTGAAACTTACTCTGGCATCTCTTGGGTGTTTGGGATTATCATCATCCTCGTCGTCTTTGTCTCCAGGCCTGACTAGCGTTAGACCGCTCATGGCTGCCAGCTTCAACGGCCCCATGTAGCCATTCTTGTCTTTCTCCGTACCGTCGGCACCCTGGGCAGCCTCTTCTGGCTCCGACTCCTGAGATGTACTATAACCGCTGGTCATCGGCCCAGCCTGATCTGGACTGGCATTTACAATCCGAGATGCTTTAGTTGACCGGGAAGGTTTGGAAGGGCTGTGAACGGGAGAGGAAGGCGGGGGACCAACCAAGGCAGTCTCAACGATGCCAGAGTCACGCTGGCTGAGCTGGGACCTGGACGGATCCACCAAGTTCGCCTTGTCAATGTGCAGCATTGCAAACTGGCCGGGGTTGAGTTCCTGCATTTCAGGGCTCAGCGACCCAGGGCTTTGCTGTAGCCCACTGTCCCTGTTTTGCGCCGTCTGGGTGCTTATGGAGTTTGGTCGCCTGCGCTCAACTGGGGCAAAGTCTGATGCATAGGTTGCGACTGAGTTTTCAGGCACGGTGGTTTGAGTACTGATAAATATTTCCTGGTTGTGACCTGGCAGTTTGAATTGATGAGGGGGGCTGCCAACGCTATTGGGTGATATATTGGAATCCATGTCGCTGGTATCGGCAAACTCACTTGGGGGACGCACCAATGGAATGTGGTAGTCCTTTGTGAGTTTTGGACTCTGCACTTGGGAGTCCATTGGGAATGTTCTATCTGGCAAGAAGACAGCGCCTGAGTCTTCGTAACCAGCTGGGGCTTGTAAGATGGGGACCTCGGTGGGGCTTGTGCTCCCAGAGTTATGCATGACCAGGTTTCCGGCAGCACCATGTTGAGGGGAAGAAGGGAATGCTTGCTGACTCATGAACATGTTCATGTTTTGCGCACCAAAATCCTGCGGCCTACTAAAATCCTGCGGCCTACTCGGGTCAGGGCTGACATGGAGATTCTGGAAGGCTTCCATGGGCAGGGATTGAGCGATGTTGCCGCTGGAGGTGCTCATGTTGGACTCCATGGAGCTGACACCATGATTCACCTCATGCACAGGATGGATGAGCATGTGTTGCAATCTTCTGCTGACCAGGTCAGGGCTGCTGCTACTGACTTGATAGTTCTGCCAGTTCTGCCGGGCCAGGTCCGGCGTACTTGTGCTGCCCCGTGGGTATGGCGGCGGAGGTCTGAACTTGTTCTTAAGCAGCTTGGCAGCTATGTACTCTTCCGTGGTTTGGAGGTGGGAGGTAAGTTCAGGCACACTATACGTGTGGATGATGGCCGCGTGGCTTCCTGACCCGTACATCATGTGGTGGAGGGGTGCCGTTTCCAAAAAGTGTCCTGGGTGATGGCTCGGCAGGCCACCGTAGCTGAGCCGATATTGGTGCCTGTACTGATTGTTGTGAGTGTGGCTCCGTTGGCGGAGCTCAGGCTGTTGGTACAAAAGACCGTCCATGTGACTGTAGGCCCCACTGGCCCCGAGATTGCCCATGCTGGAGCTCTGGTCGTGGTTCAGCATGATGATCCGCTGTCCGTGGACGTTGGGGTTGTAATCCGGGCTGGGCCGGTAGGCGGGCAAGGCCGCCTGCAGCTGGGCCTTGAGGAGTTCGTTTCCCGTCAGGCTGAGGTTGGAAGACGTCGGGGAGACCTGCATGGGGATGACGTGGTTGGCCGAGTTGACACTGTAGACACTGCCGTTGTGATTGGTCACTCGGAGGTTGCCGTTGGCGTAGGCATGGTGGTCGGCTGTGGCAGGCCTCTCCAGGCTGAGCTGGGACATGGTGAACTGACCGTAGTTATCCTGAGCCCACTGGTGGTCAAGACTGAGTTGAGACTGGCTGAAGGCTGGACCGTCAGGTGCTATCGTCTGATGAATGGACTCTGTCACACAAATAACAGACTCATTGAATTAGCACGGAAGATACAAGAAAAACTGTACATAAAGATGCACATTTGAAGCACAATGCCCAAGAATTGTTTCCCCAAGACATTGTTACAAAATCAAATTAGGTATTCCTACCATCGGATGAAACCTCCTTCATGTTAACATTGCTCTGCTCGTTCAGTTCTGAGTGCCGCTTCAGGGTAGGTCTTCTCTCTATGGAGCCGCCACGGTACGAGCTGTTGCTGATCAACTTTCTCTTGTTGTCAAACCCGGAGATGCCGTCCAGGGAAACTTCAAGAGAAGCCGGCCTATTGGGAGACAAAATCCAAAGTCACAGATTAAAAATAAAGAGTCACTTGGGTTTATTTGCTTGACAGACAAGCTACCGTTGGAGCCACTCAATCTCGCTTGCTTCACCTTGAGACACAAAAGCTATTGCTCAACAAAGTTGTGTGCTTGCAGGGTGAGATCTGGGGAAAAATTTAAAATCCATGAAATAATCGGCGGAGGATCTGAGGGATGCCGAGGGCTCCAGTGCATATTTGAATCTGCCTAAGGGCATCCCTTCAACCATGGATCCTCTACACAAGGATGAACGACTTCCTAAAATTTCTGGTTAGAGGCGTGATATGGCACTTGCGCGTCGTGCATGCGCGTGCACGAGACATGGCGCGTGACTGCAGTCTTTCAGAGGTCAAATTTCTGTCAGGACGCCTGCTGTCGGCGATCATGACGCGCGCGCAAAGTTATACATGTTCTGCGTTATTTTATGCGCAGACACGGCATATCACGCCTGTAGACAAACCGTTGCGTACATTTGAACACAAGCTCAGATGAGTCGTTTATCCTTGTGCAGAGGATCCGTGCTTTAGCCCTCCTCTCTCAGTGACAATCTGTAGAGAGTTACCCTATACGTCAACATTTATCAGGTGACAGGTTCTAACAGGGCCCAATTTCACGGCGCTGCTAAACACACAATTTTATGCTAACAGAGCCGGCGTCTATTTCATGGAGACCGTAAGCATAAGCACAGCAAAAGGCATGCTTACTTCAGAGGAAATATTTGCTGAACATAGTGACGTAACAATAGAAATCTCCATGCACGCGCGACCGTTAGCACACACACGCCGTGAAATAGTGCTTAACGTTAGCAAATTTTTCTGCTATGCTAAATACAACTTTTCTGCTAACTGTTTAGGAACGCCGTGAAATTGGGCCCTGGTCTGTAATCTGGCCCCATATTGGTACAATCGACAGGCTGTGGTAGTTTGTTAACTGAGGGTACCATGCCTTGACTGACGTTGATGGATGAGGTGGGTCAGCGCTGGTGAGTGTCTGTCAATGATGGATTAAGCTCAGTAACAATGTAGGCACAAAAGGTTCACTCATGCATTCCAGCCAAACAAAGGCATCACCCATAAAATGGCTGCTACACACAGGCATGCAACTCGGAATTTAGAAAAAAACGAAGAAATTCCAAACCACACAAGACTTTGTACAGTGTTTTTTTTTTTATTTGTAATGGCATTCCTGAGAAATAAAAACGAGGAAATCAGCATGCTTGTACACAAGCTGTACCATTATTAATTGGCACCCTATCTATCAAACCCCTTCAACAGGCTTTGACAGTTATACGGTTTAATCCATAGGGGTTTCTGGTAGTTGGTGACCAGCCTGTACAAAAGCTATTGAGAAAGGTAGGGGGTTAATTTTTTTTTTACAGTTTGTGATAGTTATAAGTACCGATATAGAAGGGTTAAATATCCATTTCTTTCGCTCCAAATAAACTTTTACAGGTATTAACAACACCTCTACGGTAAAACCTAAGAATTTTTTATTTAAACAGGAATTTTTTAAAATCCTGAAGTCAGGACAAATCTTCACGAAAAATCGTGAAATCAGGAAAAATCCTTAAACCTGAACTTAAATCAGAGGATAACCGGTGACAAAGCAATATACATCATGTTACATTCTGGCTGGTAGTCTGTTTCTGCTAATCAAGTATATTTCCTCTGAGTGATTTTTTTCCAACTTTCACTCGGGAGGTAACACACTGAGTATACAGTGTTTAAACGTCGGTGAAGGGCAAAACCTAATTTGATAATTTATATCACCCCGACGCACAAATTCCATCTTATAATAGTTTATGCGGTACCCGCTGCTATGTACATCAGATTCGAACCAGCCAACCGATCCCGTTAGCTTGGTGGTCGAGTGGTAAGACATCTGCACTAGAAAGCAGGAGGTCGTGGTTTCGAGTCCCACCCGAGTGATTTTTTCCAACTTTCACTTGGGAGGTAACACACTGAGTACACAGTGTTTAAACGTCGGTGAAGGGCAAAACCTAATTTGATTTATATCACCCCGACGCAAAATTCCATCTTATAATATATTTTCTCTGCTATTAAAGCAAAACCTCAGCACTAAAAAATATCTGGGCGCAACTCACTTGGTGTTGGCCAGACATATCTTGTAGAACTGCTGTTGCGTCTTGCACATCCTCCAGACATACTTGGCCGTCTCCGCATCCTCCATTTGAAACTGTACCGTCTCCTCGTTGTGCGCCGTCTCAATGCCAAACAAGCGCTTGTTGTGGCCCATGTTGACAATGTCGCTCCACCTACGTGTAGGAAAATCACAATCAACAATTGCCATTCTCTCATGTAGTTGATGTAGGCCCTTGCCTTTTGAATAAGACCTGTCTCCAACAGCACTTTAATGCCGGAAGACTCTTATAAAGAGATCTCATTTGGCATTAAGCAACGGTAGACGCACTCTAATTGATGTAGGCCCTTGCCTTTTGAATAAGACCTGTCTCCAACAGCATTTCAACGCCAGAAGACTCTTATATAGAGATTTCATTTGGCATTAAGCAACGGTAGACGCACTCTAATTGCTGTCTTCACCTTCAAATCTTAAATCCTTGCAACTGTAATCAGGAACTGGAAACATCCAGTTTGGTAAACTACAGAAACATCTCAGACGGAGTGATAATAACAATAATATCAATCTATATAGCGCACATACCCGTTACAAACCAACAGGCATGCAACTGAGAATTTAGAAGGAAAAAAAACGAGAAAACTCCAAACCACACAAGACTTTTTGTACAGTATTTCTCCATTTGTAATAGCACTAGTGAGAAGTAAAAAACAAGGAAATCAGTGAATCCCAGGAAAACCTGCACACCTGCAACCGAACTAATTATCATGGCGCAGAACAATATTATTACCCCTGCTCACAGAGCCAATGAAACATTTCAAAACCATCTCAGCTCCCTGGGGAGCATACAGCAAAATGCTGCCATGGGCTCCGTGCGCCAACTAAAGAGGGCGCCCTTTTACCGAGCAACGACGTCCCATGGGTGGGACATTTAGCTGGTTGACGCGCACCGTTCCTGGAGTGTGACGCACGTACACCAGGGGATTTGTATATATAAAAAAAAAGCAGTGGAACGGCCGCGCGTCGCGGCAAAATTACAGTCAGGCAAGATGGCGTCGGTCGGTCACCCCCAACTGTACTTTCTTTGCCGGTGAGGGGGTACTTGTGAACGGAGCGGATATCGGCGCAATCAGCTAAATCAAACACATGACCATCTCTAACCTCACGGGTACCCATTTAGTCCTGGGTGGGAAGAAGCATTGAGTGACAGGCAAAGGACACGCACCACAAACCCAGGCTGGACTTGAACCCGCAACCTTCAGATTGACCCAACATCATGAGTTCAATGTACCGGTACCAGACCAGAAGGCCACGGTACTTCACCCAGAATGACTTACTTGAATGTGACTGTGGGCTGCCCGTTGAGATGTTTGACAAAGACGCCCAGGGAGGAGGCACCGAGAAGCAGCTCATGACCCGTCTCATCCTGGAGAGAAAAGACACACAATGTAAGCTTAGCCAACTGATTCCATTCATCCTTACTATCTGAACTTCTGCTTGACATTCAATACCAGCATTTGAATATTTTTAAGGATTCAAGAATCAGTGTTGTAGTCAAGACCAGGCAGTCCGAGACCAAGACCAAGACCGAGACCGACAGTCCGAGACCAAGACCAAGACCAAGTCCGGGAACACGTCCAAACTGGTCTTGAGACTGGTCTCGAGACCAAGATCAGTCTCGATGGCTACAACACTGTCAAGAATCCTCCAGTAGCCTTTTCTAGTTTTCTAGGACCTTGTGATGTGAGAAAAGAAGAACAAATTGAACGTACCTTCGCTGGGTAGCTCTCCTGGCCGTAACCTTCGAGTTGTGAGGTCTCGGTGATGTAGGCCAGCTCGGCAACGTCGGGCGACAGCCCACCGTGATTGGTGTAGGCGTTGATCACTTCTTGGATCAGTTCTGACAGGATCTCGGGGTCGGAGGTCAGATTCTATAGGCAGAGAAATGAAAAAGAAGGTGATTGTGTTCCAAAAAATATCCAACAAACAGAAACTGGAAAGTTGCTAGACAAGATAATCAGGTGGTTAAATGCACGAAATCAACTGGAGTTTTTTTTGTTATTTGACTGTGGTTAGTGTATTGTATATTTACAATGACATCTGCAGCATTTTCATAACACATTCAGAGTCTTTCAAAATGTTACCACTTTGCAAAAAGACAAATGTCACATAGCCTACACACGTCCATACATGCATATAGCAACTATTTGAGGTTAATTAAACAATTAAATACTCCGCATCTTTCTAAAAACCTAATGGCATAGTGAAATTGAACGTGCAATCTTGAAGTCATTTTTCCTGCAGAAGGAAATTGATTGCTTTGCTTAAAATAGACAAGCTTACGTGCAGAAATAAAAAAAATTCACAGACAAAAAAATTCTTACATTCTAACCTGACATACACTGTACCATACCTAGTTCTAATAATTTATAGGTTAATTCCCCAAGGAAAGCAAAGGACATGGCCAGGTACTGGTACATCCATATGTCATCCTACTTCAAAAGTAACCATATGCCAGCAATAATGACGGACAAAAAAGGGGGGAGAATAAATCAAATTACTTCACTGAAGCCTACTACGTGACATGGATGGTGCTTACATTCACTCATATATATTTGCACATACATGTACGTATGTAATATACATTTGTATCTGTGAAGTCATCACATTTTTCAACCACTGCTGTTAGAAATAAATGGGAATACATGTACATATGGTAACTGTTTGCATATATAGCGAGCTGATATATCTACTCAAAATGAAACATCAAGACATTAACATCAATAGTAATAATTATTTTGCACCGTTTAAATCAATTCAATAAAGGTTATTAAATGTAATTTAAAAAAAAAAATGCTACATGTAAATTAAATAGCCTTTTTTAAATTAAAAAACAAATAAGTAATCAGATAAACTAGAATGGGGAACTACCTACACGTAGGTTGCAAACATAATAATTACAACTGAACTTCACAACCGAACTTCATGTTATAATGAATTTAAAAAATAAAATCAAGGAAAGATTCCCATATCTGGCCGTCACTTGTCACCCAGTGCAAAAACCCTATGAGACTGGTCTGAAAATTTTCTCAGTAAATACTTCAATATTTTTCCTGCTAAATTTGACCTTTTAGGGCATATTATCACTTTCTGATGGCCGATAGGTCACTAAAGGGACAATTAGTGATGGCCAGATATGGGAATCTTTCCAATGACAACAATTTAATTTAGAGTAAAAAAAAAGAAATCCAGATTCAAAAGTTGATTACTGAGCTTAAATCTCCATTTAATTTAGCCCAGTACTTTAAAAAAAATACAGACCAGGAAAATACATTACTCAATTTGGATTGAATAAAAGGAGAAACGAACCAAACCAATCCCAGCGTTTGAGTTGGGATAAATGATAAGTTACATATACACACACACACATCTTTGTAAACACCGGCAATCGTGGACCCCCTATAGACCGCTTGCAGACGCGATCGATAATTGACGCGCGAAGGTGCGCGACGCCATGTTATGGGACTAAATGTGCATAGATAGATATACGCTTGTCCCACAACATGGCGTCGCGCGCCTTCGCGCGTCGATTATCGAACGCATCTGCAAGCGGTCTATTGTCTACAATACTCATTCCTTTGCTTGTACTTGTTTAGCAACAGCTCTTATTGGTTTTGTACACAAATTTCAATCATGGACTATCGGTCAATCGTGGACGTATTGTTTGTGCCCTAACACTTTTGTCCTACATGTAGGTACACGATTGCCGGTGTTCACATACTCACACTCACATTTACACACGTACCTTTGGGAGAAGCACAAAGTCTTGAAGATATTCAACTGTATGTCTCTGTTGGTCATAGTCTCCAAACTCAGCTGGCAAAAAAAAAAGTCACAGCAAAAGCATATATTACAATAAAAGACAAACATTAACCTCCAGATCTGCAACTTGTTCATTTGTCATAAACTTGAACTGGATCTACTAGTGTTGTAGTTGAGTGGGTAGGCATTACATTCACTATGTGGACTTCCGAACATCTAGGTCCACATAAAGCAGGTAGAGGTGACGTTGTGTGGACTTGGGCAAGTCCACACAGTGTTTCCCCATTTCTGGAAAACAGGTTTAGAGGCATTTTTGGGTAAGGTTTATAAAGAATGAAGAGAAACACTAAAGGGAATCATAGAAAAAAATTGGGTTGAAAGAGTTTTCACAGTTTGAGAAAAATGAGTTTTTTCACTAGATTTTCTTCACTACACGAAAGCAATGGAATGTCCACACTAGGCATGTAACGTAAACATGTGTGTATTTCCATGAGTACAAGTACGAGGATGAGTACTTTACCATGAGTACGAGTATGAGTGCACGGCAATGTTTTACCAAGAGTACAAGTATGAGTATGCGTACCAAAAAAATGTACTCCAGTATGAGTACTAGTATGAGCACTACAACACTGATCTCCACTCTCATCATAAGCAAGTATAATATATCCACATATGTACCGGTATGTACTTTCCATATTGAGTAACTCATAAAAATCAATTATTTATAAAAGTGAAATGAATGTGCTACAATCTTGTTTATTATGTCAAATTTAAAGGTACCAGTACATCATTTGTAATTGGTGCATTTTGTTCGTTTGAAGCAACAGACGTGCTCAAAATCTAAAGACGGGTACTGAACAACTAACCCGATGAAGTTTCAGCTCAGTGAATGCTGTATATTCTGAGAAAACAACATTCAAGGATCTCGATTTCAAATCAAAAGTTGCTGAATCATGTTTTGAATTGGGCCTGAATTCAGCGTCCGAGACACGGTCTCGCTGAGCCAATTGCAGCTACGCGATGTCGCGCACTAATCTGACAAATTATACCGGTAAATGTAGCATCCGCGCATGCGTGTGCGTCGTGCCAACGCTTGTGCGCGCTTCGCCAAATAAAAAAATTAAAAAACTACAAACGGAAATTTCCAACGATGTGCCTTTAGACGCCATACTATCTTTACACCAATGTATGTTTTTCATCAATAATTACGTCAGTTACTTTTTGGATAGCTGCAAGTGATGGACTGTAGCTTTAACCCTAACGTACCTGAATCCATCAAACTCCACACCCCTGTGGATTTTGATGGATTCCGGATACCTCTGAATTGAGCTATTGGGGGACTTGGGCGGATTCAGGATTTCAACAGATATACTCCAGCCTAGCTGGTGGATTCTAATGGACTCGCTGGCCACCAACATTTTTTTGCATGGCAAAATTGATGGATTTTGGCAGATTCAGGATACTTTCTAGTAAAAGAGCCCAAGGGGTTAGGGTTAACACATACCTTGCACAGCATAGCTGGCCAACAGCACAGCTTGCTCTGGGCTACATGGCAATATCCCCTCAATAATATCAGCTTTGAGTTGCAAAAAATACAGGTATCTGCAATAAAGAGTAAAAAACACATATACACAGGTTACCAAGTGCAAACTACTTTTGACCACATAAAATTTAATGACAAATTAAGGAGTTGGTTAACGTCATGCACTGACGTGTGCCGAAGTCACTCTATGCCATGCAAGGCAACATGTGTGCACATCGAATACCAGTATAATTAATTTAAAAGAAACAAAACTCGATACGTACTGGTATGGTCATTCTATAAATTAAGGGTCCAAGGTGTGAAATTTTCCTGTCCTGTTACCTTTGAACTTACCATTCAATTATCATGAAGTAATTTACTGTCTCCTGAAGACGGTCAGAGCATACTGACCGGAACGCCGAGTTTATACCTCTGGTTCTTTTCAGAACCATTCTCTTAGTTGAGAAATTATTCCCACATGGTGTTTCCGCAAACTTTTCATTAATTTACCATTCAATTATCATTAGGAACTTCAAACATTTTTTTGTATTTGTTGGGTGAGTAAAATGTAGTTTGCTGTTCGTAATCACTACTTGGAAGACGACTGCTTTAGGGAATGCATCAAGATTTAACAAATTATTGATGTCAGCTGTAACAGAGAAAAGTGGACCCCAAATGTATACAATGACCATATACTTTGTATTACATATTTGTCCACATGGCATTTTTTTTATATGTACCGGTAATTGTACCTGTTATCAAACATGAAAGGAAAATTTTGTAACATGAATTTATGTACCAGTAGTTTGACGGCCCTTCAAATAACGTACAATGTATTTTGTTACAAAAATGTGCATTACATGTACACGTACGTTGTATAGGCCCTACTACATGTACGTAGCTTTCTGATCGTATCTGAAAAGAGCAAAAAAATTTTGTACATGCTTCTTGTAAACATTCCAGATTCTGCAGCACGTAAGCAGGAAAATCCAATGGATGTACATGTACATATGTACATTGCATTTATTATTTGGTTACGGTCCACACTGCTACATGTACATGTACCGGTACATTTAAACCGGCCAGTCGACCTCGGCAAGCTCGGTGGTTGAGTGGTAAGACGTCTGCACTATTAAGTAGGAGGTCGTGGGTTCGAATACCAACCAAGCTTTTTGTGAATTTTTCCTCACAATGACCAAGCCTCTCCTTCAACCATTGCATTTTGTGCTTGCGCACACTCTTTACGCCTTTTACAAATAAACGTGACACACAGACATCAGACACACAGACAGACATTAGACAGACAGACAGACATCAGACAGCATAGGGTCTTTAAATATAGGATACACAGTGTTTATGGTCCACATGTACATGTATTTCATCATTGTCTATTACAAGTTTACCATAGTTTTTGTATGCATGCAGTAGGCCCTACATATTGATATTAAGTTTTGCCTCTGTAATCTGCAGTGTGGGCGGAGAGCAAGAATCAGTCATATTTCAGATTCCGTACGAGGCAGGCATTCTGAGTTGTAAAAGAATAGGTGTGAGAAAATGTCATCCATAAATCCAATCTAATTGTAATGTTTAAAGGTGGGCAAGTACATGTAACTATCAAAGTAACACACTTTCATCACAATAATGGGTACATGTGCGCTGTACCGTAGCTCATGCTGGGCCCTGTTTTAAATGTTTTCATTTTAGTCAAAGTTTGATGTCCGTGTTCTGTTGAAAAATTCCATTTTTAAAAAGGATTCCTCGTTACAAATTAAGAACTGAAACATGTATTTTGTTTTATGCTTCTAATTTAAAATTTGAATCTGTTGCCAGTCTTCAGCTGATGTTTTTTTTTTTTTTTTGGCTGCTGAATTGTTTTTACAAATATACGCATGGAATGCCAGTCAATGCATTTTGGGGTAATATTCCAATTTAATAGCAAATGATCAAATCGTTTCAAGCCACCGGTACATGTGTTCTGGAAATGACCAAACATTTCATACAATTATGTTTGGAAACCACCTTTTCTAAAGGAAAACCTCAATATTTGGAGTGGTTTTCACATGAGGTAACTTGAATGAAGCAATTGCCCCACACATTTCCGTGATCAATAGGGACAGATATTCTGGGGGCAGATTTGAGCTTGTTTACTTTCAAACCGGAATCTACCCTACCGCAGGCCCAGAGAACACAGGGTTAGGACATTCCGGGGTCACACCACAAAAATGCAGATTAAACATAGTGATGTTTCATCATGGAGAGAGGTGAATACGCAATCTCTTCAGAGAACCTGGGCAGGAACTTCCAAAACTTCCTTGAAAATGTAATGACACTGCAGTGTAGGCTTTTCTAGATAATGTGAGATTTAAATGTTTGTTTTCCAGTGCAGTGTTATTCATCCATGGGTGTTTAAATAACTGGACTTTAAAACCAAATCATGACTAAACTCAAAAAAACAACAACAGTAAACTACATTTACTGTGTACATGAAAAAAAGTTTCCAAAAATCCGGTGCATGTACTGCACACGTTTATGTACTGTACAGGGTCTGTACATTGTACATGTATGTATACAATGTAAGTACCAGTAAATGCTGAAGTTTGATAGCAAATCAAATAAAAAACTGATAAAAGTGGATTCCGTGGGGATCATCAACGATTTTTAATTATGTTTGGATATGAACTCTGGAATTGTGTGGCTACAATGTACATGCAGGCACCTTGTCCTGCACACACTCTACAGATAACGCCAATGAGCACATACAATGTCTCTTCAATCAACATACAGTTTAAGCCCAACAATGCTGAACGTCTGAGAAAAGCTCTGACAGTGAGTAATTATTGTTGATGTACCCTAACGTTTGCGCGGCCCCCAACGTTGCGCACTTTGATTTTTCGCCTGTAGCGCCTAGCTAGAGCAAAAGTTGTAACTGAAATTTCACAGAGAGTGAAATTTCATCAAGTTCTAAACACTCCTGTTCATAAATCGCGAGTTTATTTACCCGTTACAAAGTTAGAAGAAAAATCAATTTTGGCGTGATTTTCCGATTTTATTTTCAAGTGCAAAGTGAACCCTTTGAAAATGCCCCGAAAAATAAGAAAATATTTTTCTGAAAAACATCTGGCTGGGTATGTAAGTAGAGATAATAATGATTTATCAGAATTTGTCAAGTTTACAGAAATTCTTAAATGTTACTTTGGAATTTTCTGAGATTTGTTTAAGTGCGCCACGTTAGGGAACACTCAACCAATTTGTGCCCAATTTCCGGACACCACCGTTTTTGAATTTCGGATTAAATTTTATGTAACTGAAATTGTTCACAGCTAGGTTAAATAGCATGCGTTAATAAGGTAAAAGTACTAGTATTTTACTGCATGAATTTGAGGTTTGTCAACAAAGAGGTTTGGCAACACTACACGAGGAAAGTTGGGTAAGCTTCGAAGTGTGCCACGTTAGGGAACACGGCTATACTACTGGCTGTTGTTTACACTGTACGGGCAGAGAACAAAATCTAGATTTAGCGGTTGTCAAATCATGGAGGATGTTCCTTCCTCCATGGTCTCATCACCTGCTACGGTAGGTTCGCATTGTTGGACTTTGCACAGACTTCTAGAAAATATCAGTATAGACCATGTCACATACATGTATGTATCTGTTTACAAAATTGGATGTTGTGGTAATGTGATGCCATTTTTCATCAAACCGTTCTCTTCTGCACTGCACATGTAGGCCTACACATGTATGTACACACATACTGAAATTTGTATCCTTGTGGAGACATTTCTTTGTTTTCATGTAATAAAGTTTTCGAGTTTGAAAGTACAGTTTCAAATGCTGTTACTTTTACCAGAATTAATTTCCTTGGCTGAAATTCGGACTTAATATCCCTTTTCTAAGACAGATCAACATACCTTGGAAATTCCTACTTTTTGAGTAAAATCCATATTTCGTGAAAACCTTGTGGAGACGTATTCATCTATAGAAATTTCCCGGTGGAGACGTACCGTATACAATCTTTTGTTCCCTAGTGTGTGCATGTCTCCAGAGGGCACGGTGCATCAGATCATCATAATGCACATGACTGGTTTCAAAGTGTTGACATTAAATGTGACGTGATCACTGTCTGTACTCTCATGAAACCCCCTTCTATGGAGAAACCACTGTGCATGATATTAACATGACATTTACTGTACAAAGCAACTGTGTGCCCGTGACAGTTTGTCTAATGTGAACAATAGCTAGCACAATGCTTATGCCATTTGAGGGGGCCTCCGTGATAGAATTGATAAAGCGAGCCCAGATTGATTGTATAGGTTGGAGGGTCGGGGTTGCAAAATGTGCATGGAAATCTACGTGTAGTATTACCGGTAGAAAGTGTACATTTGTATTCAGTCTCACGAATGTCTTTTGCCAAAAGATACATGCAGTTTGGAATTCTTTGTCAAATTAAACAACATCCCCCCCCCCCCCCCTTTAAAGAGGTTGTGGAATGCTCGAAGACATTTCCGTCATTTTTCGGGTATATTTAGCCTAAGGTGTGATGAAATAAAAACGACTATTGTGTCTGTCATGAAATGAGTACGAAAGGTTCTTTTGAGAGATGTTTTTTCAGGTCCTGTTTCGACCCGAACGTGCAATTTGTGTAAAAGTCGTCGTTGGGGGCAGCGAACAAAACATAGCAAATCGTGAAATAATAAACAGGACTCCCGATGCAGCGTAGTATAAACGAGTCCTGTTTATTACGCCACGATTTACCATGTTTTGTTTGCTGCCCCCAACGACGACTTTTACACAAATTGCACGTTCGGGTCGAAACAGGACCTGAAAAACAGCTCTCAAAAGTACCTTTTGTACTCATTTCATGACAGACACAATAGTCGTTTTTATTTCGTCACACCTTAGGCCAAATATACCCGAAAAATGACGGAAATGTCTTCGAGCATTCCACAACCTCTTTAAAAACGAAAATTCTGCATCATGATAACAGGATTCAAATACAATACATGTACCAGTACGACCATAGCGTGTATACATGCATGAGTGGTCATGCCCATGTGTCTCTCCAGCATGGCCCTGTTTTCAGCCAAACCCAAATCACCACTGCATATATTGTTAGCCATAAAAAGGATCAGCGGTTTACAGAGGAATGCATGCATGACAAAGGCCTGGGCTGAGGGACAAAAAACACGGCTGGAATTTGAAGGATGATGGACAACAGAAACCACCTTGCTGGAATGCACACATATGGCTCAGTACACTTTTGGTAAAAATCGCATGTGTATACATGTGTGGTACATGTATCTCGACATGCTCACTGGTCAGAAAAAAAGTTGGTCATTTCCACTGCAGCTTCTTACAGGTTGGAGACAAAAAAGCTCGCATATTAATGATATTAATTTTGGCGATGGAAGTAAAGAATTTTGTTTTTATTAAAAAAATAAACTTTACTTCAAAAAGTTGCCTACCTTTGAAAAAGTTCTTTTAATTTCAATGGTTCAACTAAAGGAAAGAAAGATGTGAGACTAGTTTTTGTGTTAAAATCACTTGAGAAACAGTCCCACTTAGGATGGGAACCCATTTCTACTGGGCAAATATTCGGTGTGTTAATAAACAAATTTCAGTGCTTAGCAGTTTCAACACATTGGTCCCCAAGTATTAAGCTGCCAGTCACATACAACTAAGCACATTTAAGTACAACGTTCTACAACTAAGCCGGCACAGGAAAAACTGTAAGCAATGAAAACAGGTCACCATTAAGCTTCGTCCTAAAATAAGGGAATATTTTCCCTGTATTCCAGGGCATATTTCAAGAGTCAAGCTTACAAAGTAGTATTTTGTGTTGAAGCCCAAGGGAGATTGGTTTCAAATCTCCCATAAAGTCTGCCTCTATATTTAACAAATTATACAGGCTCCAGGGCTGACCTTGTGATTTCCTGATGGAGTTGCTGGACATTGGCAGCGAACAGCATCACACAGAATCTCAGGACAGGGTCCTGGGAGTTCTTCTCCAGCTGCTTCTTGAGAGGTTTCTCCAGGTCCACCCAGCGCAGCTTGTAGCCCTTGTTGATGTACTGGAGCCCAAAGTACATGGTCTAGACCAGAGAAAGATAAAATAAATAAATACATGTGTTGATGTGTACGGGTAAATAAATACACTGTCTGCGTGGGGAATAACAACACAGATACATGTACATGTACATGTGTATCAACTTATATGTGTGTCTGGGATAGTAGACACTTTCATTTCTGCCAAGTCCCTTCATTAAAGGGAAGATACAACATTTGCAAACATCACAAAATGAAATGATCAAATTATCACGAAATACCTTACTGGATTGTAAGGGAATGACAGTCTAAAGCATCCTGTAAACTCGTGGCTCCTGTTGTGCTGACATTTTCAAGAAAAATTCTACTTTTCCAACGCTGGTCGGCTGACCAGCGTTGGAGAAAACTGGCTATTTTTCAAAAACTGCTCCGAATTTTCATAAGTAGTTATTTCGCATTTTCTTTGCAATTGATTACACACCTGTGAAGGGGTACAAGTCTGCTAGACTGATTCTCTGACCTTACAATTCCCAAAGTCTATAAATTGCTCCGTTTCATCTTAAGTGGGGTCAGGGAACCAGACTGCAAGAACATGATTGGTTTTCTTGGTTTTTCCAGCATCTACAAGCCCTAAATGTGAAAAAAATCATTTTAACAATATTTGCTATAACATACTAATCCTCCAAATCCATTTATTTCTGAAAATTGCAGCAAAAGCAAATGTTGTACATTCCCTTTAAAATTTGAAAGAAAAAAACTGTCTCACATATTCAAGACAGGTATGTACATGTACTTGAAAGCAAACAAGCATACAATAAGGCAATTATGCACATGTATACAATATATAAAGTGTCATCAAATTCCACAAAATTTGGTACATATGTATACATAATCATTAGCTCTCAAATTGTATACTTGTAAACTTTCAAAAGTATTGGTATGGTACCGTACCTCGGTGGAAAACCAATCTTTGCATACCGGTATGCTTGTACCGGTACGTGCGTAAATTTAATAATTTTAATTTGCTAATGTACATTAACATGTACATGTACATGTACATGTACATGTACATTGTACATGTATACATGTAAGCAAACTTTTAACATTTCTACTTCAGAGACAAAAACCACATAAATTTCATTGTAGCTCCATAAACAAAACAACCAAGTGGAGCTAATGTCAATAAATGGGACTGATTGGACCACTAATAGTATTTGCCGAAGGGCTGATGTTTATGAGCTAAATGGGCAAGGGTCGCATAGTTCAACCTGTAAAACTATGCCAAAAATGTCGGCTGAGGTTGGGGCCTTGATCATCAGGGCAGGGTCAATGTCGCAATCTGAGTTGAAATTTGGCACCGGACTGGTCCATGTGTAAATGTAGGCATTTGCAATGTAAAGATCTCTTGTCATTAAAGGAGGAAACGCAGGGTTGGCAAAACCTGTCAAAAAGCCCAGCGGCTATTTATGTGTGAATTGATTGTCAATTATGTGTGCATCCTGTGCAGAGCTGAAGTGAAGGCAGCGGGCGATGGCTTGTGTTCATTTGCAGACAACTCGGAAGCACTTAGAGTCAATCAATGACAACTTTATTAGTGATGCAGCCTACAGCAACAAAATGGAATCAATGAAAAAAACATGCGAAAAATCTTTCAATATTTTGAGAATTGTCAAGAATGATTTTAAATGCTCTCCAAGTGCTATGCTGTATCTTTTTTTTAATACTCAACACATGAAGACCACAGTAAAGTACACCCATGTTTGTTTTACATGATGTGGACATTCCTTTGTTTTCGTGTAGTTAAGAAAACTCAGTACCAAAAAAACACTTTACTTAAACTGTGAAAACTCTTTCAACCCCAAATTTTGTTTTTGATTTCCTTGAATGTTTCTCTTCATTCTGCGATGGATAACCCTAACCCGACAATGCCTCTAATTAAACCTGTTTTCCAGAGAGGGCGAAACGTTATGTGGACACGGCTTCGTCCACATAACGTCAACACAACCTGCATTATGTGGAAATCTTTTGTTCACATGTCCACATAGTGACTGTAAGACAAACTCACATGTACATGTACCGTACATGTATGTATACTTGTACATGTACATGTTAGTGCACATTTTCGCATTTTAAAGATAATGTCCATTGAAATTAATTTTTGAGAACATGTCCTACAAATGTAAAGTAATCTGACACTGTCCACCGCCCTTGTAGTTTAGGCACATTATACCATTATACTGGTACCCATGTTCTTTACAGTACCAGCAGTGTCTGACAAATTCCATACTTCTTCGAAAATAGCCTCCTACTCCAAAATAGCTGGCTCGAGTTACCCATTCCAATCTGGGTCATTCAACTCCACAACATGTAAACTGTATTGGTACATGTATACTACAATGGTACATTGTAAATATTCTATCATAAACAATACAACATGAACGTTAATCATCAAAATTACCAATAGGTTTGGCTTGTTTGAAATGTATACAAACGTTCACTGATTAAACAAATATTTGCATTACTAAGTGTTTACGTGAAGGTCATATTTAAAAACTAAAAATACATTTTAGAAGGCTTGAAACAATATTGCAAAGGCAACTGAATCCTTTACATACATTGTACTGTACACTGCATCCTTTGGCTCTATGTACACAATGTATGACTGACTTGTCAGAATGATAAATATCTGCTTGGCAGCAGACATTAGGATATGACTTGCTATATACATGTACATGTACAGGTGTACAGGTGTACAGGTGTACATATATGTAAAGGGGGAAAACTGTTGGCATATTTTCAAAAGCAGTCATTTGTCATCCGGTGCCAAGCCCTTCCAGAAAATGTGCTGACTTCAGAAAATGTCACATTTCCTCTTGGCCAGTCTGGGCCCATTATCCTGATTAAAAACCAAGAGATGGAAAAATCCTGCGGTTACATGTAGGTCCAACCATGGTCCAACTACCCAACTTGGCTATGTTTGTGTTTTCTGACGTGACCTCGGATGACACTGCCAAGGCAACTCACACAAACATCCTGGCAAGGTGGCAGGTACTGATTGGAATGTGCCAAGCATTATTTATGGGTGTGCACAGCACTACCCATTTCTTTGAAAATTCATCAGCACAGGTTTCTGTGTACTGTATTGTACATGTAGGGTAAACTGGGGTAAAAACGCCCATGGGGTAAAAACGCCCAATTGACTTGTTTCCCCTGCTAGTAAAAAATGACAAGATGAATAACTCAATGGAATATATTTTTAATAAGTACAATGTAGATAAAAACTAATAATAAAAAGAATTAAATTCATTAACATATTTGAAGGGTACGTAGGTGCTGTTGAAAAAAATATTTAAAAAAAAGTTTTAAAAAATGGCCGTCGAAGGTTTAGCCTATATTGCTTAAAATTATTTTATAAAAAAAAGTATTTTATATTTTTATTATTCTTTAGTTGATATATATTAAGAAGGGTTAATTACATAATTATAAATGATTAGAATATTAAAATCTATTTTAATATTTGTTTAATAATGTTTTTTAAGTGGGCGTTTTTACCCCGGGCAAAATCAGGGGTCTCGGGGTAAAAACGCCCAGTACTTTTCTTGACATCAAACTCTATTGCAGCCTCATTTATCTTCAAAAACCTCACTGTTGGAACTTTCTACAGCATTCTGTTTGTTGTATGAGTAAGTATTAGCTATTAGAGTCCTTCCACATAAATATGTAACAGTGTATTATGTGAAGTGGGGAGGTACATGCAGGCGGTATCACTAACTGACGTTACGTAGTGGTAAGGAATCTTGCATTTGTTTAGTGGCGAATGCCATGGGTCTATGATATGTGAGCAATTTTGCTGATTACTTAGGCAAGACCCCGCCTCTTGACCTCCTAGATTTTGACCAATCAGCGGGCACTTTCTATATCGGGTCTTCGGTCATTCACCGTTGCGCGTTATAGACAATGGATTAAAAAGCCCTGCGTTATGCACTCTATTATTATGTTACGCGATAACGCGCCCGGCTGTTGTTGCATAACATAACACTGCATTCGAATTGACCAATCAAACGTTTAGTCCTGATTTGGGAATGAAATGACGTCACTATTTAGTAAAGTCGACTCCGATTGGCTGAGGCGCGAGATCGCATAAATCTGCATGCTTTGATATATAAGACGTTAAACAGGAGTCTGGGCTCTGTGGATAATGGGTGATACTCAGACTAGCATTTGTTAGGGAATTACACCTCTATGGTGATTTGAGTGTACTTTTAATAAGTAAAAATGACTAGAAATGGTTGTAAGACCCAACTAGACCGGTTTCTACTCTCATGCTCTAATAGCAGAGCTTCATCAGTAGTAAGCCAAAACCGGTATTTTATATTCGGCTAAATTAGTCGTGTCAAATGTTAGAGTGCATCTATAGATACACATAAGTGCATCTAATAAAATTTTGTGTGAACCTTGTAATAAGTCCAATTCCGGCTTATTGATAAACCTTGATTTGAAGATTTTTGGCCTTTTATAGGCAGGAATTGGTTCGCTGGGAAACAGATTGCATACATGTAATTTCAGGTGTTCCGGAATTAAATGCCAGTCTTTCAGCAATACTTTTGTTAGCTGCTGGGTTTTGATGAGTGGTGTGTAGATTATCTTGAAGACTAGAGGTGGTTCTTTTTGGTTGTGTTTCATTCATGATGTATTGCTCACAGATTTCAAATTGTACGTCTTTTATGACTGGCAATTTCCTCTTTCTTGTGGTTACAGAGTAGAAGTTTCTCCATGAACGCTTTTCTTTTCTCTAAGAAATCTTAGTATCTTATCTTAGTACTATAGTTCTCCCTTGATAAAGCCTTAGGTTACCAGCAGTAGGCTAAAAGCACACATACATGCCTAATAACATGGAACTATGATTTGGCTAAACAAGATTGAAATTGATTTTTCAATATTGGCAGGTCTTATCATAACCTACAAGTTTGTTATGGGTGAATTATGTACGCTAATGTTCCACTTCCTTCCACATAAAAATACCTGTTTCAAATTATCAAGTTTGTAGTTATAATTAACCAGTTGTGTTTGAAAAGTTATTTGTATTTAATGAAGTATCCCTCCATATTAAATAAATTACAAAAATACGACTATACTACAGGGAAACCTGTGGTATGGCAATTTTTTTTTTTATAAATGTGGGCGGGCGTTTTTACCCCGAGGCCCGGGTAAAAACGCCCGCCAAACTTCCTCCCGAAAAGGGGGGAAAATTTCCCCTTATCAATATAATGACAATGATATTATATTTGCATCTGATAGAGGAGACATGTATTGCACAAAACCACACATTTATTTCCTGGTGTCTCCAAGAAGTAAAGAGATATTTAACAAAAACTTAAAAATCGGGCGTTTTTACCCCAGTTTACCCTATACCCTCATTAAAATATGTACATGAGACCTCACTACTGTTTTCTAATAAACTGAGTATTTTATTTCCTGTATGCTACATGTACATGTACAAATGTACATGTACCGTACTTTGGACAATAGATTGGCTTGTATGCGTTAGTCAGACCATGGAGCTATTTATAATTTAAGGGCAGATACCATAAAAGGTATCCAAATGAGCCAATTTTTTCTTTTGTGTTCAGGAATGTATTTTGTACCTTTATGTGTAACTGTAAGGTCAATTTGAAGTTACAAGCCTTTACAAGGTTTCTTTCCCTGTGAGTGAACATATGTTTTTAATTTTTGTTGTTGACAATTTGCCACTGAAGTCCAAGGCAATTTGCATTCTTACCTCATGCAGTCAACTTAAACCATATCTGACTGAATAATTTATAATCTCACTAGGCGAAAAGAAATTTATTTAGCAGTTCATCACAAGAAACCTAGGTATGAGGATACAAAAAAAAGCAAATTAATGTGCTATTAATTGCTAAACGGCATGTTTTAATGTATATTCTAACGAGCCATCCAAACAATTTCTGTCACAGTAGGCTCAGGGCATATTTCATGGGGATGTATCGATTGTCAAAGTTTAAATACATAACGATCGGTGCTAAATTTATACATCTGGAAAATCGTCAGGTCAATTGATTTGAAGTCTTTTTCTCTCATCAACACACTTGCCTGCTCACATACAAAAAATGGAACACGCTGTACGTGTACGGTATGACTACAAGCAAGTAAGAGATCGTTTGTATCATTCCAAATGACTAACACAACCGTTTTTCAAATTTATAGCTCTGTGGCGATAGCGGTGAAGCCTCATAGGCATAACCTCACTTGAACCAGACCTCCTGCCTCGACAGCCAGACATGACACATCACACCAAGAATTTCACATTGCAGGTTGTCTTTCCCACATCCTTAAAAAAAAGGTCTTCAGTCGCCCTGGTTATGTTAAGTGCTTAGTGCTAGCCTCTGGCCAACATCACGAAGCTGCTAAGCACAGCGATTTTTAAAAAATATTTGCTCAGCAGGTATCTACAGTTCCGAAGCCAAAAATGTTAAGCAATGAATTTTGCTTGTGACTGGTTCTGAGAGATCTGCTTACCGTATACATTTGGTAAGCAATATTTTTCTGCCTAGCAGATCCATGCAATTGGGACCTGATGTACATGTACATGTACCGTAGATGAATGTGGCATTGTATAATACTTGTAGTTCTGCCACATGTGCATGTGTTTGTTTTACCTTTTCACACTAGAACCTCTCAACCTGGGTTGAACTCAACCCTTGCAAAACTCAGCGCCGCTCTAGGTGGAGTTTTTGATTTTTCAACCCCCATTCACCCCTGTGTCGTTTCATACTTGTTGCGTGCAAACTGAGCTCATTTTGCTCGGTTACTACTGTTTTTTAACCCTGTCTGAGAATTTTAACCCGGGTTGAAATCTCAACCAGTCTGGAGCAGGGTTGAGTTCAACCCGGGACGAATTCGATCTCAGGGTTGACGCAGGGTTGAACATTTTCAAGTGTAAAACGCCACACGTTTTCACTCCTGATAAACCCCAAGATCTGTTCGATGTGAAAAGGCCAGAGTTTCCAAAAGTAAGATGGTAGATCAAAGACTGGGTAATGTTCTTGAATACAAAAAACTTCCCTGTGCATTGTACATGAAGCTTGAAGTTGAACATGTATGCCTACGTGTAGCACACAGTCTTGTCACTTTTCAAATCATTGTGTTTCAATCATTCTGTTTGACACTACACGTACCGGTATGGTGCCCAAATATTAATTTAGAAAGTGACTGATACACAGGCGCTCCACCTCTTGGCTGTGATGACCTTCGTGATCTGAGAAATTATGTCAAGGTCACCCCCTGGTGAGCACGGTTCTGGAGACCTGTTACTTTACATTATTCTTGGACATGTACACAAAATAGTAACGGTAGCTGTAGTGTGTCATAAATGGTGGGTAGCTTTTGGTTACTGGTTTTCAGGTACATGTACAGTGTTCTCTAGGAAATAGGACTTGTACGCATACACGTAGCTCTTTCAACGTCAAACAAGTACATTTTGCATGCAAAGTCAAAATGGCTTCATATGCATTACCTTACATGTAGTTACTTTTTGTCATATTGTAAGATCGTGGCAGACCTGTCCAAGGTCCTGTGGACTCCGTGCACAACTATGCACCCTCAGCACTACTCGGGGAAAGATTTCCATATACGAAGTTCACTCAACACCCTGTGTACAAACCCTATGAGATTGGACTGAAAAATTCTAAGTGTTTTCTAAGAAAATGCTTGTATTTTCTCACTGCTCAAATTGACTTTGATGACATGAAATTGCTATCTGGGGGCTTGTTAGTCAATACAGAGGAAAATAAGTGAACTTCGTATATGGAAATCTTTCCCTACTCGGCAGTTAAAACTGCAAGACGTTCTGTATTATTGGAGGAAAGAAGTGCCAAAAACGTGTGTTCCTGTCACGTGGTGGCACCATGGTTTCAGTACTAATCAGCTGAAATTGAGTTGTGCCTCGTTTTGCCATGTATGTGTACCGGTGGTACTCACACTAACCAGCTCCCGCATTCTTAATGTAGCTTTCCTGGCCTGATCTACCCAAGCACTAGTATCAAATGAGGACAGTTTCAGGACAAGTCTTAATTCCCTAATGGAAACGAACTAGGCTGCTGGCACCGGTCACTTTTTGCTAAGTTTCCGGTTGACCTTGGGTGGAGGAAGGGGGGGGGGGGGAATGACAGTTACCAGTGTGGGGGAAAATAATTGAGACACACCCACCTCTTCAAGCTGCAGTCTCTGCGCAATGGTATCCAAGCAATCTTGTCCCAGGCTCTCCGATGTCAGCGTTAATTCCAGGAGCGTGTTATCCAAGAGCTCTATCCTTATGACAAAGGAGTTCTTGCCCGTCACATTGTACCGCCGGGTTTTCTTCAGACGCAAGCCAAACGGCATTTTGATGGGATTTACTCCCCAGTCACGGGAGGGCATCCAGAAGAACCAAGTCGTTTTTTATTTTTAAGTTAAACTTCTCCTCCTGAGAAAAGGCAGATTTTCTCAAACCGTTTTCAATGTTCGGGTATGCATTGCACTCCTCCCAGTTCCACTAGTTACAAAATGTGTGCATCTTTCCATCCGATTGACGCGTGATAGATTGTCGATATCTACGTATGGACAAGAAAAGTAAAATGTCAATGAAAGGTATTAAGTACAAACAAGGAATGGCAAGGATGATCCCAATCTGGTTCCTTTTCACTTCAATGTGATGTACCAATAGACATTGCATGGAGACCGAACATGGGTTGAAAACAATTAGGACATCAAAATGTACAATTCACAAAAAAGCATAACAATTTTTTTTTTTTTTTAAATCTACACCAAAGGTATAGTCCTGACATTTTACCCCACCATCCGACATTTTCTACATTAACCCTAACCACCCCAACTCCATCAAAATCCATCCCCTCATTTTGGTGGATTTTGGGGGACTTGGTCCAGAAGGCCTGACGTGACTAAATATTGATGGAGTTTGATGGTCTTGGGCCTAATGGCCTGAAGCAGTGCTAGGGGTGTCCGATTGATTTTGCCTAGCTTCATGTACTGCTATTGTGATAAAAGCCATGTGTAGCAAGTCAATGAATGTCATCCAGTGTGTTAGTGGTGGATTCCATTATGTCATGTACAGTTTTGTATTGGACGCACAGTGATTGATGGATTTTGATGGACTTGGTCCAGTTCCTAGTAAAAGACGCTAGGGAGTTAGGGTTAAAATTTTCATTTGACCTTTTCTTGGCCAAAGGCCCATGGAATGGATGCAGATGGAATTATGGGACACCTTGACCCTTGTTTGACATATATTTTAAATGTTTCTTCGCCAATTAGACAAGCCAAGCATGAAAGTGTTGGAATGTTGAGCACATGTAGCTGTCAGACATGTAATATGTGCAGTGTGCATGCATGTACATGTTTAAAGGTAAAAGTTGGTGTGATATTCTTGAGTGAATTTTACTGACTCAACCAGAACCAGAAACAAATACATACAAATGTACATGGTGCAATTGAACATGGTTCGTCAAAAAATGCTATTGACTTAAAAAGTGTGCATATTCATCGATCCCACAGGCATGCTGTTCATAAAACAGTGGTGGGAATAAAATCCAGATATTTTAAAGTTTGGTTTGAATTCTACTATTCGGTTTGGATTTTGGTAACAGTCGAAACCAACCCTTAAAAATCTGGCCCTTTTTTTTTGGAACACAAGCTAAAGACAACAACTGGAACATTCCTCAATTTGCTCCATGATGTCTGATCATAACTGCATTCGCACACTATAGCTGTCTTCTTGGTTCATGAATAGCCTGCCTACACGTATTCATCTGATTGAAGAGTTCCCACCCATTTTTATCAACACTACAGCTCAGGAGTGTTTTTGTAAAGACCCAGTGGTCATTCATCCTGCAAACTTTAGGCCTACCAAATCATAGTTTTTATTCATCGGTCTTCAATATGTGGCACCTCACTTTTTGGTTGGCATGACTGTGATCTGAATGGGAACTTCTGATGAAATCGGACAACCGTTATTTGGTTTGAAATAAAATATGATAACTGGATTTTGAAATCTCCGATTTTTCCACCACAATAAAAAAATCAGAGGAAAATGTACATGTATGTACATTCAGAATACTAGTAGTATGCAGTGACTAGACAATACATTTATATGAAAGCAGATCAACATGTTATCCATAAACACTGGCAAAAAGTAACTGCACGGCTGAATTTATAGAGTGGTGGCCTGCTGCAACAAAAATGACATTGAGTCAGAGGGATAGGGCAGGCCTACACTACAGCCATGACAGCCTACAACTTAGAAGTCTTTTTCTTAAAGGGAATATACATCATTTGCTTTTGCTGTAATTTTCAGAAATGGATGGAATTGGGGGGTTGGAAATATATAGCAAATATAGTTACACTGACTTTTTTGAGGTTTTGGGTTCGAAAATGCTATAAAAACCAAGAAAATGATCATTTTCCTGTAGTCTGGTTCCCTGACTCCATATAAGAAGAAACAGAGCAGTTTACATACATTGGGGAATTGTAAGGTCAGGGAACCAGTCTAGCTGGCTCGTACCCGTTCATAGGTTTGTAATCGATTGCAAACAAGTGCGATGGTCAATTGGGGCCAATATTTACAATTAACAATAACATGTTTGTCTAAAAACAGTAACCTATTTATTTCTAACTAGTAATAATAGAACTAATAATTAATCCAGAAGAAAACTTGACAAAGCCTGATATATAACTTGAACGTATTGAAACAATGACTGTGCTTTCTTAATGTCAACTCCCATGGCAACCTGTGCAAAACAGCATGTGTGACTGAGGCTATATGATCGAATACGGATGTTGCATGTATTAAATTGTACACAACGCAATGCTTTGCATGTCATAACACACGTACGCAAAGGCGCAAAGCAAAACAGAAATCGAATGATTAAGAGCGGTTTAAATTACAAACTATTACTATACAGCTACAGCTAACAAATATACTTACTCACGTTATGTAACTGAGGAGCATTCAGTCATATCATAAAAATCCCAATTTTAATATCGCACAATCGTATGATCCGTGGCCCCAGTCCCGTACTCTTCTTATTCCTCCATGTCTTGACACACCACTTGCCGGCTGCTACACATGTACATGTATACATTGTATACACACAGTTCATGCAGCGCTAGCTGTGGCCGTTTCACACAAAAACAGTCTAATTCCGCCGGAACTAATTCATCTCATTGAAGTAGCAATGGCTGGCAAATACTTCCTCTAAATACAACGGGAAGGAGCGCATTCCTCTCCAGAATGCTTCAATGGGTTCGCTTCGAAAGGTTAAGCTGTACTTTTGTTTAGTCATTTGCCAAAAAATTGGGTCAGATCTACAGGTGTATCGCTCCGCATGCGATGAATGATTGGGGAATGTCTGCTATGCGTGTGCGTGTCTGTGGTTGATCTGGTTCCCGTCTCATCCCTGCGCTAATGCAAAACCGCCAGTGGCTTGGTAACGGACCAAAAGTTTGGTCGTCTGATTCACTGAAGCAGAAGAATTTCGAGGCCGTTGTATGAGGAATTTAACGGAATAACGAAACGGGATGTTATCGTGACGAAATTTGATGTCAACTAATTGTCACGAGATCGGGCCTTTTACACTTTCGTGGAAGCTTGTTTCGAACGGTGACAGAGGAGAAACGACTTGGTTTCAATTTATAGCTCCATGGTTTCAAGTAACCCTGACGACTCGGAGTTATGTTCGGCTAGTCCCGGATCCCACCACTAACTGGGGCGCTAGAACTCCTTTTTTGACCAATGGGATGTTGGTCTGTCGTACTCGCAAATATCAAAAAAGGAGTTCTAACTTCTATCGCCCCAGTCAGTGGGACTAATGTTGGGCCTCTTTAAGTACCTTGTTTCCGACAGACCCATGCGCTTATATTCACTCCTTTTTTTGTATTACATAAATGTAAATGCATTTCTTCATTATTAGTGTGTCACATAAAAGTAAAATTGAAAACTGTTGCCTATTCTAAACTAAAGAAATCTCATGATGTTTAAAATTGACAGGGTGGCATTGTGTAGCTAGTTACTAGTTTTAGTTTCTTGCCCAAATCATTTCCTGCTCGAATATACTTATTTAAATCTTTTATAAAAGTTGTATTCATTTACATTTTCATTTTGTCCATAATTTGGAATAAGAACCCAGTACTTTTTATCGCTTTGTCAACATTACGTTTTTCGGCATTCATGAACTATCGATTCTAAACCGTTTGTCCCATATATGGTTTGTCCAGTTTTGTTTTATGTTAAACAGCGCCCTCTATTTACCGTTGCTATACATGTAGTCTTTTTTTCTCACTGGTAGTTCTCACAAGTTTAACCACGTTGTTCACAGAATTTTGCGCCCCATTCAATATCATCTCATCGACTGCAATGCTTGGTTATTGCATTGCCTGTATTTTGTAATATATCCTCTCTTTATTTAGCTGAATTAGAGGTATTTTAGAGCGATTTTTTTGACTCGGATTTATGTAAACACGTGTATGATAATGATGAGCTGCCATTATGTTATACAGCATAGCCACATTGTTTTCATGCTTTATGTGTTCATAATTCCTGGCAATGCTGTTTTATTGTATTGAAAGAATTGTGCAGATTGTTGGTCCTTTTGATACAGTATTGACAAAGGTTTATGTGTAGTGTTATAACACTGTTATCATGTAGTTTCCACCGTTAATAAGTGATTAAGGCCTGAGCTATTTACTGGTCTGCAACCCTAAAGATATTTTTTGAAGTCCGAAGGACAATGGGGTCTGGGGAACCGGACTAGCCTGCATCCTTTAAAACAGCTACAGCAGCTTTAATTATGTCTTTATATATAGGCCACGATAAGTTACCCAGAATGCCATCCCCACCGTCCTTCACAAGATTCCGTTAAACTCGTCAGCCCTTCCCGGCCAAGCGCCCTAGGCCCTAGCTGTTTGCAGGGCACGGGGTGTTCGAGCGAAGCGCTATGCGTATTAAGATGCACATCGGTATCATGAACAGCGCTCCTAGTGAAATGTGGTGTCCTGGTGTAACACTGTTCTCTTCTACATTTTAAAAGTCGGGTTTTTTTAATTTAATAAGGATTAGATTTTAAAGTTGATATTATTTTTCACGAAAATAATGTTTGATAACAGGCTGACGAAGGACTGTTGGGAACAGCAAACGGAATATGCATGTAGGCCTGATATACAGTGTTTACAAACAAATCCGTAAAAATCGTTTTCTTTTTAAAGACGTCCGTACGCTTTTAAAATAGTAGTAGGGGAGTTGAGAATCTGTGTCTGTCCAAATACAAAGAGTAGAAGTCAGGCGCGGAACCCCTGAGAGAGGTTTGAACCCCCCCCCCCACCAACCCCCACCCACATACTGACGCACTCAAAAATATGTACATCTATAACAATTATAATAATGATAAGGTCCGCCTGTCCGCAACAATCGGATATAAACATCTCTAACGGGCCTGACCCCTCCCCCGGCAAAATTCCAGGATCCGCCCCTGCACGCCTGATGTCTTTTTCAAAAAAGGCCTGCATAATAATAGTTTCCATTGTTGCGTAACGAGAAGCACGTTTAGCACACGTAGGCCTACGACTAACGAGGCTGCCTATACAATTTTCCAAAGAAATGAAAACAGTGGGCTCATTATTGCCCAAAATGTCAACTCCTTTTCGTCCATGGAGCCCAAACAGATGGACCCACCAATGTGCCACGTTTCTACGCCTATTATTTTTGAGAAGAACTCTAAGAAAGCCGAATGGCCTAGTGGTTAGATTCGCCGTCCACGCATCGCGCGGGGCACGGGTTCGAATCCCCTCGGTGTCTTTTTGGTTTTAATCGCACTCGTTCAGTCATTATATAAGATGTTTAATTTCCCGTCGTAAAATACCAACAGTACCTTAGCTTAACCGGTAAGCACTGCTGCTGGTACTGTCCGCGAGTTCCAGGTTGGCGCCTTCGTACAGGTTCAGGGCATTTGGTCCACTCGGAGGATCAGGGCTTAGGGGCCGCCCTGTTCCTCCCTTAGCTCTTTGCTTTTACATGGTGCCTGGCCCTCCGGGGTTACATGGATGGATAGGGAAGGAAATGTGTATTGGTCGGGAACGCCGAGACCCCGGAAGAGAACTAAGGGATCGGCTGGGGCATTGTTATGGCTCAGACCGATCCCTGAAAGCTTGACTAGCACATAACTTTTTGATTTTTTTTTATCCTCTATCTTTTATACTTTGGTTTAGTTTGATATTTACATCTGCTCGGCAGATGTACGGTAGTTTTGAAAACGAAACAGAGGTCTATGTCATGAATCAATGAATCATAATTGACTATAATTCAAACGGAGTTTCGTTCGATCCATATGACTATACCATTATTAATGGCGCAATTTCCAATTGACGTAAAAACGCCATATTATACCGGGGAAAAATGAAGATGTACATTGTAATATAAACATTATTTACATCTTTCAAATAAAGTTTCTTTAATTGTGAACATTCCCAACAAATATAGTCATTCGCAAAATAGGGAAAAAAACGCAAGATAACAAAGTCCATCACCCTTAAAACTGGAAATTCAAAATGAAAAACAAAGTCAAGTGGAATACAAGAATGTACATTAAGGATTGAATTGGGAAAAAAATCCATCGCATGGGGCTTTTACTGACTTGCTTTTTTACAGTCAGTAACATGCAGGAGCGGATCCTGAGGAACTTGGTTGTTGTTTTTTTTTTTGGGGGGGGGGGGTTCGAACCCCTCCCCTGCTCTGACACAAAAAAGTAAAGCTATTCTACAGCGGTTATTAACACTAGGCCTATATCACAGAATATGCATATACCCCCTAACAAAGCTGCCGATGTCCGTATTTTTGTGCAAAGCGGACATTATTACCAGTAAACAGTCTAAGCGTGTCAGAAAGGGGGGGGGGGGGTGTTTCGCATTTTTTTCCCACGGAATTCTATGCATTGTTTTTTTTTGGACAGACTGGGCATGGGCATCGCGAGGGGGGCAAGGAGGGGGGGCGCTTACCCCCTCCCCCCCCCTCCGGAAAAGGAAAAAAAACCCAGAAAAATAGGCGCGAGGTCATAGTGGTGTAAAAATGTACCTGCCACCCTCTTTAACTGATAAATCGAGAATTTGTTGAGAAATACAAGAATTTTTGGGGACATTTTTTTTGCCACCCTCTAGAAAAAGTCCTGGCGACGCCCATGGAGATGGGGGACCCCTCCCCCAGATCCGCGCCTGCACCTCCTCGATCGTTTTGCGGAACACATGATCGAGTAGTGTGCAATGACATCGGGTAAGACCCTGCATTTCTTCAGAAGCTTTCGGCAGCAGCACTCCTAAGGGACCCTCGAACACATTCCCACTTGATTTAGGGACAGAAATATCATTAAAAGGAAATTCATATTTTAGCCTTAGTTGATGAAAAATGTAAGGCTAACCCCTTGCAATGTTTGTCAATTTGGGTCAAAAAATGAAAATGCTCCAAACTTCCTGGAAAGACTCTTAAGGAACCCTCGAACACATTCCAACTCGATTAGGGACAGATATATCATTAAAAAGAAATTCATATTTTAGCTAATTTTTATGAAAACTGTAAGGCTAACCTCTTGCATTTTTTTGTCAATTTTCGTCAAAAAAAAATGAAATTGCTCCAAACTTCCTAGAAAGACTCCTAAGGTCCCCTGGAACACATTCCATTGCAGGACAGATATATCATTTAAAGGAAATTCATATTTTAGCCAATTTTTATAAAAAAATGTAAGACTAACCCCTTGCAATTTTTGTCAATTTTCGTCAAAAAATGAAATTGCTCCAAACTTCCTGGAAGGACTCCTCTGGGACCCTGGAATACATTCCATTTCGATTTAGGGACAGATATATCATTAAAAAGAAATTCAGATTTGAGTCAATTTTTATAAAAAAAATGTAAAAATAACCACTTGCAATTTTTGTGAATTTTCGTCAAAAAAAATGAAAATGCTCCAAACTTCCTGGAAAAACTCTTCAGGGACCCTCGAACACATTTCCACTTGATTTAGGGACAGATATATCATTAAAAGGAAATTCATATTTTAGCCAATTTTTATAAAAAAATGTAAGACTAACCCCTTGCAATGTTTGTCAATTTTGGTCAAAAAATGAAAATGCTCCAAACTTCCTGGAAAGACTCCTAAGGGACCCTCGAACACATTCCCACTTGATTTAGGGACAGATATATCATTAAAAGGAAATTCATATTTTAGCCTAATTTGATGAAAAATGTAAGGCTAACCCCTTGCAATTTTTGTAAATTTGGGTCAAAAAATGAAAATGCTCCAAACTTCCTGGAAAGACTCCTAAGGGACCCTCGACTACATTCCCACTCGATTTAGGGACAGATATATCATTAAAAAGAAATTCATATATTAGCTAATTTTTATGGCCTCCTGCAAGGCTAACCCCTTGCAATTTTTGTCAATTTTCGTCAAAAAATGAAATTGCTCCAAACTTCCTGGAAGGACTCCTAAGGGACCCTGGAACACATTCCATTTCGATTGAGGGAGGGATATATCATTAAAAAGAAATTCATATTTTAGCCAATTTTTATTTAAAAAAATTAAAAGCTAACCCCTTGCAATGTTTGTAAATTTGGGTCAAAAATTAAATTGCTCCAAACTTCCTGGAAAGACTCGTAAAAGACTCTGGAACACATTCCAACTCGATTTAGGGACAGATATATTATCAAAAAGAAATTCATATTTTTTGCCAATTTTTATGAAAAATCCCTGCCCCCCTCTATTTGTTGAGAAATACAAGACTTTTTTGGGAAAAATATGTTTTGCCCCCTCTAGAAAAAATCTTGGCGACTCCCATGGAGCTGGGGGCCCCTCCCCGGATCCGCGCCTGCACCTCCTCGATCGTTTTGCGCAAGACATGATCGAGTAGTGTGCAATGACACTTGGCCTCCGAAAATCAAAAGTTGGTAAGGGGGAGGGGGGGGGGGATCGTACTATACTTTCAATGGGGGCGCTGTTAAAATCCGACGATTATTAACACTAGGCCTACATATACCCCCTAACAAAGCTGCCGATGTCTGTATTTTTGTGCAAAGCGGACATTATTACCAGTATCTGGTAAGATGTAAATAATTTTTATATTACAATGTATCACCGTGGATATCCGGTGATACTCAGACTAGGGAACCGTAAGACATTAGGTTGGTTTCCTTTCAACTAGATGTTTGAAATAGGATAAGTAAACAATCCAAAGCATGACATTTTCGGCGATTTCAGGACGCAATGCCCCTTTAATAACATATACACCTAAAGCAACAGACGCACAAGGAAAAAACACAGGGCCTAATTATGCAAATGCACCCACCCAGGAATAATTTTAATGCAATTAGGCACTCGTCATTATACACAGTGACAGTGTTGGCAAGTCGTGCCTCGAAAATCTAAGTGCACTTATAAAATGTCAAGAGACACAATTACACATCTAACTCCCGGAAAAAAAACAAGCTAGAATGAATTACATACATGGACATCACTACTTTTTTCTCTGCAATGACCTAGCAGCCATCAGAAAGCGACAGCATGTCCTAAAAAGTCAAATTTAGCAGGGAAAGTGTCAAAGCATTGAGAAAACACTTGGAATTTTTCAGACCAGTCTCATAGGGTTTGTGCACAGAGTGTCAAGTGATGTCCAGGTATGGAACTCTTTCCGAAAATCCCACTCGAAATTAAAATGTGACCAATGTCTGTAGGAAGATGTTTACAAATTGAAATTGTAGGATATGACAATCAGGTGAAAGTAAAATTAAACCAAAAAGTCGCTGCAAAATCCAAAGCAGGGGTTTAAAAGCGAAATGCAAATGATATTTCCGAAAAACTGATAAAATATGCCTTTATTAAAACTTGGAGGCCGGATAATGGGTACCAAATGTAAAAGAAAAATTTGCAAGAAATTAAGAGGAAATTGGTCAGCACAAGATGTGATATTCACCGAAATGAAATTGTCAGATTCTAAGATTTTTTACTATAATTCCCCCAAAAGTATGGGTAATTGTCTAAATTTGAAATTGTTTCATTTCAACTTTGGCTGTAAACGTGTGTGTTTGATATTTATGAATGCACTTTGAGGTTTTGAATTTGTGAGTTGCTTTTAAACCTTGCTTCGGTGTGGCTTGAACACATTTGTTTAAACCTTGCTTATTTAAAACCCGAGCTCACTTCAAAACATACACACATTTTAGTAAGTACACACTTTTTATAGCTTATTAAAAACATCAATAGAAGTGACAATATTTGAAGAGAAATACAAGCACTTTATATTTTTCACTCAAAAACAAGTCAAGCATTCTTGTATCGTGTCATACTGATCATAAAAATGACTTGTTACACTTTGAAGAGATTGTTCATGGCATTACCGTTGTAAAGCTTTTAATTCTAGTTCAAATGTTACTTGCTGTTTCTTGAGATGCAGGCATTGGCAGCGATCTGGTTTGCCTAGCAGAGCAACCTCCTCATCCTGTTCCACTGCTCTTGGTGAGGATATCAATTACTATCTTTTCATGGGGCGATAATGACCTGGGCACACTGTCATGAAGCCTGTTAGCAGACGTTTCCTTCCTATCCAACACAAAAGAGCATTACGTTAGCAGAAAATGTCTGCTTACAGGCTCTATGACATTGGGACCTGAGCCGAATGTCTGAGAAACCTTGTATGCACAAAACCCTGCTGAGCAAAAACAGTAATTCATCTAGCAGAATCGGGAAACCAGCCAACAGTCTATGAAGTTTACACTGTTTTCACTGGTCTCTCACCTACTTGTTCACTAAGCAAAGAAAATTGCTAAGTAGCATTTTGTGCTTATTATTATAAAATGGAGCCCTGAAGCCTGTAGCTACTGAAACTTGCTGAGCGCAGAAAAGCTCTGCCTAGCAGATACAGGGGCCCAGCCAGCACTTTATCAATTTATCATTGTTTTGACTAGTATTCATTTCATTTCCCACCAAGCAACTAAATTTACTGAGCAGTATTTTCTGCTTAACAGCTTCATGAGTTGGGGCCTTGGGCCAAGTTACCTAAAGGCTTTGATCACAAAAACCAGCTTAGTAGAGAAAAGTTTCATAAGCACAAACCAGTAAACAGCCCAAATCCCATGAAAAGTACATTTTATGAGCGGTACCCTTCTCATTTTTGTTTGCTTTGCACATAGTTTGCTATGCAGCATTTGACCCTGACTTTTGACATCTCAGTGTTCAATTTTAACATCATTATTGGAAATCGCTCAGTATTATTTTGGTCTTTTCCCCACTAATTGTGCCAAAACAATTTATAATTAATACTATGTAAACACAAATTTATGTATGCAGTATATTTAATAATCAAGATCTGCGTAATATATGCAGTAGTTTTAACATCAATAGATGATAAAATTGAACTTACTGCCATGCATGAAATTCCTACTTTAACTTGTGTCTGGTTTGACTACTTATCGAAAAACAGATCATGTATATAGTAGTTTAATAACATCAGTTCAGGTAAAAGTAAACTGTTATCATGCATAATATTTAAACTTAAGCCTGGGTAATATTTTTACTTCTGATCTGTCATGCATTTGTTCTTTGTATTGAATAGAATTTCTTGTTTGCTTTACCTCCAATTTCATACAAAGTGAAGTAGTGGCAACAACAAGCTGTGACAATTACGAGATAATTTAGATTACAATGCTAAAATATCTCTTTTGAAAGAGTATTGGCTGTGATTGAAGAAGAGCCATTGTGTTCTTAATGTCTCCATCAGTTTATTCTGCCTTCAGAAGAGTGTCGGAGTGGCAATCATAGTATACCGATTAAAATAATGAGAGCACAACTGGTCTTATTGGAGCCAACACTCCTCTGGATGATAGATTTATATTACTGCACCTGCAAGTAGTTTGTTCTTTATTATCCACAGCATGTAAAGCCTCCAACATAACTTGAAGTAGTTATGTTTTTCATTCTGAATTTTTTTCTCTCCCAGTTCAGCGATGACGGAGCCAAGAGCTTAAACTCGACCAACACTCACCACATCCCCTACTGGCTAAACTACAGTTTCTATACCTCTCTCCAAGCCAGCGACATCGCAACTTCTCATCAGCCCAGTCCCACTTCATACCAAAGTTCAGACTCCCAACAAAAAGGGTAAATATGAAGTCTAGTAGCATGCAGAATTACAAAAAATGTCTAAATAGTTGGTTTTCATAAATGAAGGTTTGGGTACTACAAACCCCATTTCTGGCTCTTTTTATGTTTGTTGCGTTCTTGTTTTTATACACTTGTAGCAGTTCCCCACTTATTATATTTTCCAAGCGTTCATGAAGGACATTTCTAAAAAGACCAATTCACTTTACATTATCAAAAAGCAAGAAGGAACCAGGAAATACATAAACACATGCACAAAAAAATTACAAACAATTAAGTGAACAAGCCGTCGTCCTTTATAAAAAGAAACCTTTCAAAAGTTTCTTAACACATTGCACATTTGGAGCAGCACCAATATTTACAGGTAAATTTATCCACACCCCCCCCCCCAAAAAAAAAAATCATCGAAAAATATTTGTAATATGTATGCTTAGATGTGCAGGGGTACTCAAAAATTATGGAGTAAACTTTTTGTATAAAGTTGGTTGGAACCTGTATTTCAACAACATTGGGCAATTCTGTGTTAACTTGGTAAAAAGTATTTTAACTGTTTGTTTCATGATAATTTCAAAATCTCATGCTTATGAAATAGTTTACTGGTACATGTAGATTCATATTGTACACGATTAGGTAGGAAGCGCTTTCTACCCAGTTGATATTTCTTTGGAGGATTTTACTCATTCAATCTTATTTTCATCTCAGAGGTTTTGAATGAGGAGAGATCATTCTTCCATTCCCTCCATGTGATTCCCTCTTTTCTTTGGACATCACCAAGATATTTCCCATTTAAATTGGAGTATGCACAACTGTTATACCACCAGGCACCTTGGCGAAATTCAGCACACTGTAAGGTAGAGTAGGGGTCATTGTCTCTGTCCTTGGTTGTGAATTCCTGCTCGTTGTGGTACATCAGAGAATCACCTGCAAAGAAAAAGTTTTCAAATCCAAACATATTCCACATGTAATAATCTCCCTCACATTGGCATTGTAGTCTTTAAAAGATGCATTTTCTCGTAAACAACTGTGGTTTTTTATTTTGAAAATATCATCTTTGCTCACAATTAGTCAATCAGAAGTCATTAAAACAAACTGTGTGACTCAAACTGGACCCAAGTGACTCAAGACTCAACAGACATGACTCAACTGTTGACTGTCTCTTACCAGCAGTTCCAGAGTAGCCTCCTACTGATAGCCTGTAGTTATCACTAGCACTGGCAATGCTGAAGGAGTCATAGACAGCATACGCAGTGTTGTTTTCAAAGTCTGAGAGATCAACACGAAGTTGGTAGTTGCCTTGACTGGTAAGGTAATGCAGGTTGTTGTTACCAAGCCAAAACTCCCTGTCGGGTTCCCCAAAGCCTTCCCGGTAGCTGGCAAAGTCACGATAAAAGTCCACTGACCCATCCTTCCTACGCTGAAACACCTATTAACAGATTTCCATTTTGTGTTTTACAGTCAATGTGCATTCAGGATAGTTCATGTAATCTTTTTTTATTTTTTAAATCTAATTTTAGGTAACTTGAAGTGTTTTGTCAGATCAGCAGTCATCAAGTTTCAAACAGCTCCAGCCAATGTCAGCCATTTGAGCAATACCCATGTGACAACTTTTAAACAAATGGGATTGCCTTTACTGTCTTTGATAATTATGTGTTAGGTCTTATTTACCGTCCATCCACCGTTGTCTGTGTCCATGTCGCAATAAACCTGTATCGAAGCATTGGAGCCAACAGGTTTGATTATGTACACACCACTGATCTCTCCTGATTCCAGATAGCCTAAACAGTCCTTGGGAAAGTACTCTGTAAAACAAAGTAGAATAAAAAATTGCAGGGAAGGCCATCATCCACATTTTAATTTTTATTTATACATGTATAAGCCATGAGAAGGAGGCTGGTATTGTTATGCAGACAATTTATCTTTCTTCGGTCAAACAGTCAAATAGAAATAATACATGAAAAAAAGTAAAACTGCTGCAAACTGCTTACTGACTGGATGGACCTGAAATATATAAATCTTAAAATTAATGTGGCCTGACGTTGCGAACTTAGCAAGTTCTTCTTCAGAGGCTAAAACAGAAAAAATAATACATGTCAAGACTCCTAAACTATACGATTAATAGAAAACTGGCCAAATTATAGTAATATTTTACCAATGTTCTTATGGTTTATGTATTTTCTCCCACATTCTCCAGCCAAATTTAGCCTAACTTGGTCCAATGGTTTACACAGATTTTGGTCAGTGGTCACCCAGCGGTCAGCAGTTGTATTTAAGTTACTTTTTTACAACCATTAAATGCAATTGTCATATTTTGCAGGACAAATTATTATGCAGTGAAATATTTGTAAGTGGTCTTATTTGTACAAGTACAAAAGAACATGATTGCTGTTTTTGTTAAGGCTACTTGCTATGCTCGAGTTGCAGCGTCTCCAACTGTAATCTGATATCTCTTAATGCAGAGGAAACAGTGTCTTGATGATTGGACAGTGCTGCTTGCATGTCTTCCATTTGGCGTCTTGTGTCTTGTAGCTCTGAGAGAATCCTGTCCTGATTACTGCTCGCTACAGTGTCTGTACAACCCGGAGGGTTGATGTTGATTTCCGGGCTGCACACACATCTTTCTGCATCACTGTAGTTACGATCACTTTTGTGACCTGCATCTGACTCTTGGGTAGCATCACTGTACACCATAGGCAATGGTTTTACAATTAAAAGCAGCAAAGCAATGTGGAGGAAAAGGCTTGTGATAATGATGTTGAGCATTCCCATTTTGGACACACTGTTATGGAGATATACAAGACTTATGAGCACAAAAAAGCTTGATAACTGTCTTATGTGGAAAGGAAATACAGTCAAACGGGAAGCAGGATATTGGATAGGGCATGACTGCTGTCAAATTAAAGTGGCAGGTTCATGCTGATTTGATCTCGACCAACTGTTTTTAAAGTTCCTTACTTTGTGCCGTAGTTTAAGCCAGCTGTTAAATATGGCTTTGTTATAGTGTCAGTGTTTGTTAATTCTTTAAGTCAACCTCTTCATCAAATCTGTAAATCAACAAATTGGTTTTACAATGCAAACCTTTTCATCTCACAATGAAAAAAAAAATGCCCTTGATCTTGTGAATCCCATCTCTTAAACTTAAAAATAAAACCTGTCATCTTACTAATTGCAAGCCCATAGAACATCAAGCAAGTAGTCTCCCTTTTAAAGGGAACGTACATCATTGGCTTTTGCTGTAATTTTCAGAAATGCACTATTTGAGGAGTTAGTATAATAGATCAAATATTGTTACACTGACATGTTTGAAGTTTTGTGTTCGAAAATGCTGGAAAAACCAAGAAAAACAATAATGTTCAAGTAGTCTGGTTCCTTGACTCCACTAAAGATAAAATGGATCAATGTATAGATGCCGGAAAATTGTAAGGTAAGGGAACCAGTCTAGCTGGCCTGCACCCGTTCATGAACATGTATGGTTGTTTCGCATTTTTTTTTCATGGAGGATTTCTATGATGGTTTTTTTTTTTTTGGACAGAGCTGGGCATGGGCCTCGCGAGGGGGGCAGGGGGGAGGGGCTTGCCCCCCCCCGGAAAACCAACTAAAGAAAAAAAAAAGGGGAAGAACAGAAAGAGAAAAAGAGGCGCGAAGTCATAGTGGTGTAAATATAATCAGTTGGGGGGGGGGGGGCTAAATGTCCCTGCCCCCCCCTCTAACACTGATAAATCGAGAATTTGTTGAGAAATACAAGACATTTTTGGGAAAAATATGTTTTTCCCCCCTCTAGAAAAAATCCTGGCGACGCCCATGGAGCTGGGGGACCCCTCCCCGGATCCGCGCCTGCACCTCCTCGATCGTTGGTAAGGGGGGGGGGGGGGGGGGGGTCGTACTATACTTTCAATGGGGGCGCTGTTCAAATCCGGCGATTATTTATACTAGTCCTATATCACAGAATATGCATATATCCCCTAACAAAGCTGCCGATGTCCGTAGTTTTGTGCAAAGCGGACATTATTACCAGTAAACAGTTTTTGCGTGTCAGAGCAGAGGGGGGGGGGGGGGGGGGGGGGGGGGTGTTTTGCATTTTTTTCATGGATTTCTATGAATTGTATTTTTGACAGAGCTGGGGACCCCCTCCCCCGGATCCGCGCCTGCATCTCCTCGATCGTTTTGCGCAACACACGATCGTGTAGTGTGCAATGAAACTTGGCCTCCGAAAATCAAAAGTTGGTGAAGGGGGAGGGGGGGGGGGATCGTACTATACTTTCAATGGGGGCGCTGTTATAATCCGACGATTATTAACAATAGGCCTACATAATTATACCCCCTAACAAAGCTGCCGATGTCTGTATGTTTGTGCAAAGCGGACATTATTACCAGTAAATATGTTTTTTTTTGACAGAGCCGGGGGACCCCCCCCCCCCCGGATCTGCCCCTGCACCTCCTCGATCGTTTTGCGCAACACATGATCGAGTAGTGTGCAATGACATCGACATCGACTGTCAATTCATCAATTCATAATTGACTATAATTAAAACGGAGTTTCGTTCGATCAATATGACTACCATTGTTAATGGCGCAATTTCCAATTGACGTAAAAACGCCATATGATACCGGGGAAAAATAAAGATGCACATTGTAATATAAACATTATTTACATCTTTCAAATAACGTTTGTTCAATTGTGAACATTCCCAACAAATATAGTACTTCGCAAAATAGGGGAAAAAACGCAAGATAACAAAGTCCATCACCCTTAAAACAGGAAATTCAAAATGAAAAACAAAGTCAAGTGGAATACAAGAATGTACATTAAGGATTGAATTGGAAAAAAATCCATTGCATGGGGCTTTTACTGACTTGCTTTTTTACCGTCAGTAACATGCAGGAGCGGATCCTGAGGATTTTTTTTTTTTGGGGGGGGGGGTTCGAACCCCTCCCCTGCTCTGACACCAAAAAGTAAAGCTATTCTACAGCGGTTATTAACACCAAGCCTATATCACAGAATATGCATATACCCCCTAACAAAGCTGCCGATGTCCGTATTTTGGTGCAAAGCGGACATTATTACCAGTAAACAGTTTAAGCGTGTCAGAAGGGGGGGGGGGGGATGTTTCGGATTTTATAATTTATTTTCAATTCTATGAATTGTTTTTTGGACAGAACTGGGCATGGGTATCGCGAGGGGGGAAAGGAGGGGGGCGCTTGCCCCCCCCCCCCCCGGAAAAGAAAAGAAAAAAAAGGAAAAAAAAGAAGACAAAATAGGGGGGAAAGAGAAAAAAGAGAGAAAAAGAGGCGCGAAGTCATAGTGGTTTAAATTTAACGAGTTGGAGGGGGGGGGTGCAAAATGTACCTGCCACCCTCTTTAACTGATAAATCGAGAATTTGTTGAGAAATAGAAGAATTTTTTGTGAATTTGTTTTTGCCCCCTCTAGAAAAAATCCTGGCCACGCCCATGGAGATGGGGGACCCCCCTCCCCCAGATCCGCGACTGCACCTCCTTGATCGTTTTGCGCAACACATGATCAAGTAGTGTGCAATGACATCGGGGATGACCCTGCATTTCTTCAGAAGCTTTCGGCAGCACGTGCCTTCCGCCGCCGTCTCCTGCAAGGCTAACCCCTTGCAATTTTTGTCAATTTTCGTCAAAAATGAAATTGCTTCAAACTTCCTGGAAAGACTCCTAAGGGTCCCTGGAACACACTCTATTTCGATTTAGGGACAGATATATCATTAAAAAGAAATTCATATTTTAGCCAATTTTTATAAAAAAAATGTAAGGCTAACCCCTTGCAATGTTTGTCAATTTTGGTCAAAAAATGAAAATGCTCCAAACTTCCTGAAAAGACTCCGAAGGGACCCTCGACCACAATCCCACTCGATTTAGGAACAGATATATCATTCAAAAGAAAATCATATTTTAGCCAAATTTGATGAAAAATGCAAAGCTAACCCCTTGCAATTTTTGCCAAATTTCGTCAAAAACCTGAAAATGCTCCAAACTTCCTGGAAGGACTCCTAAGGGACCTTGGAACACATTCCAACTCGATTTGGGGACAGATATATTATTAAAAGGAAATTCATATTTTAGCCAAATTTTATGAAAAATGTAAGGCAATTTTTGTCAATTTTCGTCAAAAAAATGAAAATGCTCCAAACTTCCTGGGAGGACTCCTAAGGGACCCTGGAACACATTCCAACTCGATTTGGGGACAGATATATTATTAAAAAGAAATTCATATTTTAGCCAATTTTTATGAACAATGTAAGGCAATTTTTGTCAATTTTCGTCAAAAAATAAAATTGCTCCAAACGTCCTGGAAAGACTCCTAAGGGACCCTGAAACACATTCCAACTCGATTTAGGGACAGATATATCATAAAAAAGAAAATCATATTTTAGCTAATTTTTATGAAAAATGTAAGGCTAACCCCTTGCAATTTTTGTCAATTTTCTTCGAAAAGTGAAAATGCTCCAAACTTCCTGGAAAGACTCGTAAAAGACCCCGGCACACATTCCAATTCGATTTAGGGACAGATAAATCATTAAAAAGAAATTCATATTTTAGCCAATTTTTATGAAAAATCCCTGCCCCCTCTTAAACTGATCAATCGAGAATTTGTTGAGAAAAGCAAGAATTTTTTGGGAAAAATTGTTGTGCCCCCCTCTAGAAAAAGTCCTGGCGACGCCCATGGAGGTGGGGGACCCCCTCCCCCAGATCCGCGCCGCACCTCCTCGACCGTTTTGCGCAACACATGATCGAGTAGTGTGCAATGACACTTGGCCTCCGAAAATCAAAAGGTGGTAAGGGGGGGGGGGGGGGGAGATCGCACTATACTTTCAAT